CTCTCCTTCCCACTTCTCTTTCTTTTAATAATTTACCATTGTTCTCTCTCATACTCTCTCTCCTTATTAATGAGGGTCTTTTTGGAAAAAAAATTATACTTTTTACACATTGATTGTTCTTAACTAATTTTAACTGTTTTTTTTATCAACGTAATTCGGTTATTCGTCTCTTATAATAAGGAACGGAGGGAGTAGTGAACATAGAATTTTTAACAATAATATTAATTTCGCAGTACATATCTCAGCTTTTATTTGTTTGGACACTAGAGTTGTAGGTATTTCAGCTCCAGGTTTTTTTGGGAAAAAGTGTTAATATATGTTGGAATATTAATGGCATGTTGATTCATGATCTCATCTTATAATTTTGTTTATTTAATTAATTGAGTTTTTAATTGGAAAAGGCTTGTCCATTTCTTTGAAGAAGATGGTCTATTGATCAAATTCAAAAGGAAACTGATTGTAACAAAAACATGTGCGTTTTCCCTTTGCAAAATAAAATAGGAAAAATTACACACAGGTCCCATAGAGGAGAATTAAGTCAGATAAAGTCCCTGGAAATCCCCAAATTCTTTCTAAGTGTCCAGGGACTTGTGTGTAATAATTTCAGTTGTAAAAAGTCTGTTATGCCCTCATTGATTGAAAAAAAAAAGAGCGGGGAATGCCTTCTCTTGGTGCGTTGGGTGCTCTGTATATATGAGAAGAAAAAGCTTAAAAAGAAGGAACGGAGGTTTATAACAGATGCCATTGTGTCCATTATTCCAGGGAAGTTGTGTTTTTTTTTTTCATCTTCTTTGTAGGTGTTATCATTAAGAACATTATCTTCTTCGTTCACAGCCATTAAAATTGCAATGTTGGTTTGAAAAGTTGATTTACTGTAGGTGTGTGGGGGTATTAAGGATGAAATGAACTCACTTGAACTATCAAGGGAAGCTCATTTTAATCATATGTGGTCTTAATCATCTTAGGTGTGGTTTTGTTATGTGTGGTTAGGGTTATAAGGTGATGCTCTGTTTTTTAGTGATTGATGCTCTGTTTTTCCGGTAATTGATGCTGTGTTGCAAAGGAAAATGAGAGGTTTTCATTGTTATAAGCCTTGTGATGCGATTGTTAAATGTCTTGTTAATGGGTACATCGAAGATTGTTAGTATAACTGTACGACTTGTTATTAACAAGTGATTCTGACAGGTTGATATGAAAGATGGCAACTTCAAATGGGAAGCATTTGTTCTGTTACCTCCATATAGGGGGACAATTTATTAATAGTGTAGAAGGTGAAATACAATATGTTGGAGGTTGTGTGAGAACAAGAATGATAAAGAAAGGCACACCAATCACTAAAAAACCCTCGGGGAGGCCAAAGAAAAGAAGAATTGAATATCAATTTCAAAATTAAAAACTTTACCATTGTGGAAGATGTCATAAGCTAGACCACACTGTAAAGACTTACCAGAACTCCAATCCAAGTTGAGCTTTGTTGGTGGCTTGTTTATATTTCTTTTTGTGAATGCTTGTGACATAATTGTTTTGTAAATATCATAACCCACACCTAAAGTTGTCCGTCATTATCCACACATGCAACCTGTGTGTTTTTTTGAATGGGTTGTAAATTTGGTGTAGTTATATTGTACAGATATATCAAGTGGTTAATGACATCTGGTTGTAATCTGATATAATATCATATCTGTATTTTGATGTACTTGTCAATAGGCTGTAATGGACTTGTTATCAGACGCTGTGGAAGTTGTTATTAGTGGTCTGAATTATGTTACTGATATAAAGTGACAATTTCCCCTACTTGCAATGTTCAATGATTTCTTAACACATGATTGTTGAGTTAAAGTTATAACATGGTATCCTTTGGTTATAATTTGATGCTATGTTGAGGCTGTGATATCCCACAACGTGAGTTGTCAAGGGCACTGCCAAGGTTGTTAACCACTTCTCCTCATGTTGTCAACAGCCGCCATTAAGGTTGTAAATGAATCTCTACAATAAAAATCTGTTGTAATCCTATTGGGTTCAGTTACAGCTGTTAATGACTTCATTGTTAAGGTCGTTATGTGTGCTTATAATACAATTTTTTTAGAAGCTGTGATATTTGATAGAGTGAGTTGTCAGCGGCACTGCTGAGGTTGTTAACCACTTCTCCTCAAGTTGTCAACAACCGCCGTTAAGGTTGTAAATGAATATCTGCAATAAAAATGTGTTGTAATCATGCTGGGTTTACTTAAAGCTGTTAATGACTTCAAAATGCCTCCCATTATATTGTTAAGTTCATCATATGTGCTGATAATATAATTTTTTAAGAAGTCGTGGCATCCCATATAGTGAATTGTCAGGGGCACTGCTAAGGTTGTTAAGCACTTTCCCTTAGGTTGTCAATAGATGCTGTTGAAATTGTAAATGGATCTGGCAGAGAGGACTGTGATATATACCTATCATGTCATCATAGTTAGCATTTGTCTATCCACTTTTATTAAGTCTTCATTTCTAGACATGATTCAGGTTTGGAATAAGGAATTTTGTGTTTATCAAAACGCATGAATGCCATTACAACAACTTCATAACTAGGAAATGATGCCAATCATATTAATATAACTTAACATTCAGCTATCATTACATAATCAAATAAAAAAACAAAATTTGAACTTTACTTTCAGCTGTCATTATACTGTCAAATGAAAAAACAAAATGTGATGTTTACATTCAGCTGTCATTATGCTATCAAATAAAAAAACTAAATACAATATATGTTGGTTGTTTATTTCTTCCTCTTGCTTTGGGAGTTTCCTCATAGCGAAGACAACACATGATCACTATGCAGGTTGTTCCTATGAGTTACAACCCACTACAAGCATTCAACCTTCAAGTCATGTGACTTCCTTGTCAATTTTGTTGTTTTTGTCAAATAGTGCTAGGTTCACTCTACAAAGAACTTGGTAGAAACAATCTCTTTGCAAAAAGGAAACAAAAAAAAGGAACAACTTTGATGGTAGTGAATGACGAGTAATCAGCAGGTATTAACAACCTTGATAGTAGTGAATGAAAAGTAATCAATAGGCTTTAACAACCTTGACAGTAGTGAATGACAAGTAATCAGCATGCATTAATTGACAGTTTATCAAAACCAATTCTTTTCAGTGTTTTCATCATATCATATGTGTTAAGAAATCACTGACCACTGCAAGTAGGAGAAATTGTCACTTTATATCAGTAATATAATTTAGACTGCTAATGACAACCTCCACAGCATCTGATAACATGTCCATTACAGCCTATTAACAAGTACATCAAAATACAGATATGATATTATATCAGATTACAATCAGATGTCATTTACCACTTGATATATATGTATAATGAAACTACACCAAATTTACATTTTATCTATAAGGTCCACAAATGTAAACTCATCAAAGGTTACTGTGAATTTGATAACATTTCCATTGCTTTCTTTTCCCATAATTGATGCTACCATTGTTCTAAATTCTTTATATGATGTGCTTTTCTTTATTATTTTTGTTCTCACACCACCTCCAACATACTGCATTTCACCTTTTACACCATCAATAAATTGTCCCCCTATATAGAGGTAACAAAACAAATGCTTTCCACTTGAAGTTGTTATCCTTCATATCAACCTGTCACAATCACTCGTTAATAATAAGTCATATAGTTACATTAACAACTTTCGATGTACCCATTAACAAGAGATTTAATCATCACATTACAGGGGGTTATAACAGTAAAAATATGTTATTTTCATTCTTTTTCATCAGCAACACAGTATCAATCACCGAAAAACAAAGCATCTTTCACCCAAGAATATAGCATTGCTTTATAACCCTAGTCACACATAACAAAACCACACCTAAGATGATTAAAACCATATATGACTAAATGAGCTTTCCTTGATAGTTCAAGTGAGTTAAATCACATCCTTAATACCCACACACCTACAGCCAAACAACTTTTCAAACCAACATTAAACTTGAGATTAGTTGTGTACGAAAAAAAAGAAAAGAAATCTTGTTACTAATGAGACCTACCAAGAAGATGATGAAAAAATATAGCTTTCCTGGAATAATGGAGCAACAACGCAGACCTTCGTTCCTTCTTTCAGAAGCTCTTCTTCCTCATACGTGCAACACCAGCACACAAACTGAAACTTTCCCTCTGTTTTTTCTTTTTTCAATCAATAAGGGCATAACAGACTTTTTACAATTGCAATTTATTACACAGAAGTCCCTGGGAACTTATGAAGAATTTGGAGATTTCCAGGGACTTTGTCTGAATTAATTCTCCTCTGTGGGACCTGTGTGTAATTTTCCCAATAAAATACAAGGTAGTAGAAAAGAAGAATGATTGTAACACTCCAAATTTTCTAATTTAGGAAAGGCGGAAAAGAGAAAATTTATTTAAAATTTTTTTAGAGCCTAAATAAATTGGGAAAATATATGGAATATTAATTTTGAAGACTTAGAAATATTTTGGAAAATTATTTCCCAAAAAGTGGCCTAAATAATTTTAAAGCTATTTTTAGATAAAAATGGGTTAATTTCTTAAAAAATTCTAAAAAAAATACTTAGAGGTTCCTGATTAATTTGGAAATTTCAGAGAAATTATTTTAAGTGATAAATAAGTTATTTGAGGAATAAAATCCTTAAAATGAGATAAGGATTAATTTATGGAGTTAAGTGCTATTTTTTTGAGAAAATTCAAGGAAAATAGTTGGGAATTGATTTTTGACCTGAAATTGTTATGGAAATTACTTTAGGGGTCAAGGGAGTTGTTGGATAAGGAAAATCCATATAAAATGTTATGGATTTATTTCTGGATTTATCTCACAATTTCAGGAAAAAAAAATGAAAGATTGGAATTGGAATAAAGGAAGGAAATGAAGGGCATAGTGGTCATTTAGCTTCACCACTTCTCTCTCACGTGCCACTCCCTTTTAATCTTCAGAAACCGCATTTCTCATCTGCAACGAAGAGAGAAACAGAGAGAAAGAGCAAGAGAGGACGGAGAAGGAGCTATCGGCGAGAGGGTGATCGGAGGAGTTTTTGTCACATGCAATCTTGGTTTCTGGCATAGGTGAGTTTCCTAATCCTCCTTCTACCCTCTATTTTGTCATTTGTCTAAGGTTCTGGAAGTCGTGGATTGCTGAAAATTGATGGGAAGTGAAGAAATTAATGATCAAGCTAAGAATATGGCAGCTATAGGTAGATTAAAGCTTGTGTAAGTGAAGTATGGGCTTGCATGTATGGTTGTTGCTCTTTTTTTGGGTTTGCCGAACAGGAGTTGCAGTAAAATTTAATTGCGGAATAATTGCGGATTGTTGGCTTCGGGTCCTTGTTTCTGTAGTTGAAGGAATCAGTTTTGGAAGAGTGAAGAACAATGAAGCTTAAACTTAGAATATCTATACACACGCACACACACACAGATATATGGTTGCATGTTGATTACTTTAGGTTGTTGATGGAATTTTGTTACTGGTTAATGGTTATGGAGTGAGTTATTGAGCTCTCTGTTCTGATGTGAGAGTCCTATATCTGAACACAAGTAATTATATATAAGTTAAGCAATTGTGTGTGTGATCGACAGGGCAGATATAATCAGTTGATGTAAGGAAGCTAAGGGAATCATCAGAGATATGGAGATGCTTAAATCCTATTGTGTGAATGTAAATAAACACACACACACACACACACACACATCTATAATGAGTGCTTGGTAGGTCTTTGGGTAGGGAAAACAAATGATGTGTGTGTGTGTGTGTGTGTGTGTGTGTAGGTCGGGTTGGATGGATGATAGGATTGAAGAATTATGGAATCAAGCTTGTAATGCTTGGGTTAGTCTAGGCATGTTAGATTGTTTTGCTGTTCAAAAATTTTAAAGAGATAGAAAGTTAGATGTTAGTAAAATTGTGTTGAGTGTGGTTAAATGTGAAGTTTTCATGGAGGGAGATGGTTTTCAAAGATCTGGAAAATATCTAGACTTAGAGAGAAGGCCGTATGATGTGTACATGAGTTAAAATGGTTAAATGGAATGGTGAGCAATTAAATAAGCTTGGTTGAGAAGCATTGAATTAATAAACTTAACATTGTTTAAAAAATGGGAAATTCCAGATTTAATGTGTATAGAGCTGTTTGGGAAATTTTTTTTAGAGGCTAAGAGGCATGTATGATGTTCAAATGATGTAGGATACACACACACACACACACACACGTTGCTATTGGATAGGTAATGGAACTCCTCTTAGTTGAATGAGAGGTCAAGGAATTCAAGAGGAGGGTGTAGTTAGGGATAATAAAATTAAGAGTTTAGAACAATGGTTTCAAATTGGAGGGTTGAACATGAAGTTTAGTTGAGGATAAAATTTATGGAAGGTCAAGTGAGAAGTTTTCAAACTTATAGCTAAATGTCTTAATTGAGTTAGCTTGGTATTTCAAAGTTAAGTTTCAAAGGTATTTTGGAGGTATTGTAAAAAGGCTTTAAGAAAGGTTGCTTGAGGAATGTTAAATTAAGTTTGAAGGGATTAGATGGGTAGATGTTTGAAGGTAGAGATGAATTAATACAATGTGAAGTGATTTCCATGAACTTAAAGAGATGGAGATATAAGGAAAAAGAGTAGTAGTTATAGAAGGAATATAATGGGAAGTTTAAGATTAAAGTTAATGGTTGTTTGGTGGCCAAAGAAGCTAAGCTGGGTATTTGTTTAAGGAAAGTTAAGATTAAAGATATTAAGAATAATGTTCAGTTAGTTGTGAGAAATATATATATATATATATATATATATATAAGTATATGTATTTTGTGTGTGTCTCGATGAAGTTGGTAAAAGAAGTAGATTTGAGTTTTATTTGATTTAATTTCAATAAGATTAGAATGAGTAGTTTGTGGGGAACTGATTATTTATCCTCAAATATAATGGATAAAAGTAATATTTTTGACCAAAATGACCAATTACTAAGTAAGGTAACTGTTTGGAGTTACAAAAGAAAATAAAGCCTTTTGAAAGTTATAGTATGAATATGAAAAGTTGTCTAGAATGACCAACTATTAAGTAAAGGTAGAAATTAAAGAAATCTGGGATTTACATAAAGTTATTTAACTTGTAAACTATAATCGGATTAAGTGGTAATCTACCCTTACGTATATGATAGGTTTTGATATTTGTATAAGTCCACTGAGGAGACAGCTCAAGAATAAGAAGGTCAGGTTTGATTTAGAGGGAAGTCGACAAGGTAGTAGTTCTTTCCTGCCTTGCACTCGTGTATGATTATTGCATAGTTGTTTGCGCCATATTGTTGTTTTAAAGTATAAAAACATGTAATCTTTAATTCCTTGTATGGATTATTTAGCCATAATCATGTGTAGCTGATAGACATGGGATAATATCTGCTAATTATTTGCGTATTGTTTATTCAACTTGTCTATCTATCATTGTGCATAAATACTTAATTGCATTAGCTTGCAACTTTGCAAGGTTATGTTCCACTTGGCTTATTTTGCATGGTTTGTGTAATCTGCATATTTGTTTGATGGATATTATAACTATAGGAATTCTTTATAATCTTATCCTCCCTTCCATGATATACAGTAAAGGTGAGAAGCTCTAAGGGAAAGAAAGCTGTATAAGAAGAAAATAGGCTGGTTCAAGAGTAGGGATGCCTACTATATTCTGTCTATATGTAGTAGAATATTTTAACAAGTTAATATTTATACTTTTATATACGATATGTGGCAAGTAACTATTACTTGCTTTATATAAATATTATTTGTATCCTCCATGAGGAGGAGTGCACTGCCAGGCACAGGTAAGTGCCAACAACTGAAATGGCTGTATATTATAACATAATATTAGTGATTTCATGGTTTGGAATTATTTTAGATAATTTTGAGATATCTGGTAAAAAAAGAAGAAGATAATTTTGAGATAAGTTGGAAGCAAAGTTTGCTGTGAATCATTTGTCAGAAAATCTGAAAGTTTACGTTATTTGATTAATGAGTTCCAATGTATTTTCAAGTTCAAATCTTGCACTGGGATTCTATTTGTTATCCCATTTTATCCTAATCAGAAACCTAGCATTAGTGATTCACAGGTATTAAAATGACTCTATTAGTATATAGAAAGTTAGATGTTGCAATGATCCTTCAACATTAGAAACATATCCCTATATTTTGTGTTTTTTTTATTGGATTGCTTTTGTTGTAAAATAACTTTAAAAAGTATACTGAAGTTTTTTAGCCAACAGAAAAAGAGCAAAATACTCTGGCATCGCATTTTAGCTTAACTACAAGATACTCCCTTCTAGTTTGTATGCTTAAAGTAAAGAGTTAACTCTATTAAGAATATTTTAAAAATTTATTTTTAATTAAATTTTTCATTAAAATAAACTTTATTTATTAATTTACCCTTTATCATACTAAATTTTTATTTTGTCTAAAAATATCTGGAAGAATTTAAAATTTTTTCATTAATTTTATTTTTTCTTCTTGCAAGCAGTTATTTGTTTAACGTTTTAATCATATTAAAACAGAATATTAAAATAAATATAAAAAAATGAATTAAAATTTTGATTAATTTTTTAATCAATATATACCTGACTAAATGAATTTATAAATATTTATGTCACAAAATACAATTAAAATTTCAAAGTTTAAATTTAAATGATTTATATAATCTCTTGATCATCAAATTAAAAGTATTGTTTGAAAATATGTTTTAGGCTAATCACCTTATAACTTAGTGGTATGGAATTTTGTTTTTAATAAGTAAGAGATGCATTAGTTTAAATGAAATTAGTAAAATTAAAATTAAAAGTAAAATAATTATTTCTGTTAGTTCAATCACAACCATTATTCACCCCAAGCAAGTGGATTTCAATATCGCATTAAGAATTTATATAACTGATATAAGAGTGATTTTGGTTTATATTTTTGTAAATTCATGCTTTACATTTGGTACTTGGTATGGTAATGCTTGCAGTGTTTTTTTTTTTCCTTTTCGTTTTTAGTATATTTTTTAATCATTTCATAACATTTAGAGCATGATTGAAGGTCGGTCTTCCAAAGGCAAAAAGACTAGTTTTACTAATAAGGAACTTAAAAAGCCACGTGGAGGCTAGGAACTAGAAAGAAAGACTTGCCCTTTCATTGCTTTCTGGTAACAAAATTTTAGAAAAAGGGTTGGGTTCAATTCAAATCCAGAGTAAGGTGCTCAATCTAGCTCCTCCTAGATGATACCAAGTTGGGCAGGGTGAACCTATAAAACACCCTCGGACATTTATATAAGTAGGCCCACATCTAGGATGCCTTTCCAAATGCCATAATGAGGAATCAAACCTTCCTTCTTTTTTGGTGAGACTGCTAAACTCACAATTAATGGATTATTGCCCTTTCAATGTTGCGCGCGTGTTAAAAGGCTTAGCAAAGGAGGCATGCAAGTTTTGTAAAAAATGATGGGCCTGGTTTTTTTGTTTTTGTTTTTATAATCCACTTATGTGATATCTAGCAGGAAAAATTCTAAAAAAATATTTCTAAAATTTCAGAATTTCAAATCATGAATGACTATAAAAATGTGTTCCCAACTTTTCAAATGTTATCAATTGTTATTAAAATGTAGTGAATAAGACTAATTTGAATTTGAAATTTAATAGTATTTTTTGAGAATTCTCCCTATACAGTATTACCAAATAAATTTAAGTGTTGTCCTTTCTAATTGAAAATAATTCTCTCATTGTACCCAAAAATAGAAAATAACTCTCAAAGATATAAGCTCAAATCTAGAGCTTCATGTTTAACTGATTATAGTCCTTTACATTAATTAAGACCAACTCCTATTATTTAGACAACGGACTTTTTTCCTCCTTAGAATGTTGGGAAGATTCGTTCATTCATTGAATCTTCAATTAACAAAAATGATAAGCAACATATGTAAGTTCGTACAAAAAAAAAAGACTCATGGCAACAAAAAAAAAAAGGGTATTTCTTTTCAAATGTTAAGCACTGACACAAATTGCCATGATAAATCAGCTGACGCCTGACATTTACCTAGGGACTTTTTTTTTTTGGGTATTCCAAATGGTTTCACTGCCTTTGGTTTTATTTATAAAAACCTATGTATCAATTATTAATACAAGACTCCTTATAAAATTAAATGAAACATTAATTATGTATATATATATATATATATATATATATATATAAGCTATGGACTCAGGCCCAATTAGGCCCATTAACAATTTTTTGGTAAGTAGAGGTATTTTCTATTGGATGGCAATCTTGTTCGAGATATTATCAGACACTAAATATAAACACCTTTCCCAATAAAGATTTGAACTTTAATTTACCACCTTGTGATGAGCACCATTAGCAATTAGTGAAAAACCCTTGATTATTTTCTAAATATCCCATATATCTAAGATAATCAGATAAGATAAATTTAGATACTAGGTTTAGGTTTATTTTTCGGTTGTTGCCTACGTTTCTTGCCTCTATATTTTGACTCAATGCTAATTCCTTATTCAAGCGATAATATTCAAAGGTGTACTTATCTCTATTTTTACATGGTATCAGAGCTATGTTCAATAATATCTGCCTTTGTCTGCGACCCCTCTCCCTTGTCCAATCATCTTCAATGTTCGATGTCCCAGGGTGTGGTCATCTCTCCATTCGTGACTTGGTCCCTCTACACTCATGTCTTCCTTATTTGACACCCAGAGTGCAGTCGGGCCATCCTCTGGGCTCAACGACTTCTGCAACACCACCAATCCCATTGTCATATGCGATTACGCTGTTCTTCGAGCTTCAGTTTCCCAAGTGTCCTCAATGTCGTTCCTCCATCGCAACACTGCCTTGTGCGCTGCAAATTTGTGTGCTTTGCCTTTGGGCTTTGATTCTGTGTGTTGCCCCGTCCGTGGTTGAGTGCTCTTCCTCGGTTTCTCAAAACCAAGCCCATTGAAGTTATCCAAGTAAGTCTTCTTCACTTTCCTTTGTTCGTGAATGACTAGTTCAATGTCCGAGATGACCGTTGGGACATATCATGCACTTTACCAGTAACTCCAACAATGATGAATCCTCATACACCCCTCCTGTGTTGCCTTCTACTAGTATGATTTTTGAGTCACAAATTCTATCTATTTATACACATCGGTTCAATGGTCTCAAGGGGTTCTCGTGTATGTTGTTGGCAAAGGAAAAGAAGGGTATCTTGCTAGTGTAGTAGCTGAACCAATCGACTCTGAAGATAAACATAAGATCTTGTATGCTGAACCAATCGACTCTGAAGATAAACATAAGATCTTGTATGCTGAAACTAATATGGTGAAGTCCTAACTTATCAATTCCATGATTCCAAAAATTAGCCAGAACTATTCACTCTTTCTTAAGGCTAAAGGCATTTGGGATGCCGTTACAAAGTGCTAGTCAACCCGTGAAAACACTGCTGTGATTTTTTAGATTAAGGGGTTCATTCATGAACAGCAACAAGGTGATTTAGATATGACTAGATATTTCAATAGTTTGGTCATGTATTGGCAACAATTTGATCTCTATGATACACATATATGGCAATGCAGTAAAGACGCTGAAACCTATCGCAATATTATAGAAAAAGATTGTATTTCCACTCTCCTACTTGGCGTTAATCCTATTTATGATGAAGTAAGGAGGAGAATTATGTCTACTTGTCCTCTCCCTTTCTTAGATAAGGTCTTTGCTAAACTAAAATGGGAGGAAAGCTGCAAGCAATTGGTCTCCAAATACATTTCGACTCCACCATTGCTACCATCTCTTGAAGCTACTAACATGGCTGTGAAAGGTCTTCATAATCCTAATCCTAGAGGTTAAAAGGGTGAAAGGTCTGTTTGTGAACATTGGTTATGTGAAAGATAAGTGTTGGAAGTTGCACGGAAAGCTAGCTGACTTTAAACAAAAACAACGTGGATCCAAAGCTTTAACTATCACAACAGATGCTGAGTCACCTCCTAACAGTACTCTAAACCTTACTAATGCTGACTTGCTAAATATCATTCAATGACTCCTTGGTTCCTAGAACACCAACTCTTAAGATGGCCGACTGTGGCTCCTGTAGTTCTGCTCGCCAAGGTAACAATCCTAATTCTTGAATTGCTAACTCTGGTGCTATGCATCACATGACAAGTAATCTATCTCTACTCTCGGATTTTATATATAGCTCCTTTTGCTTCTTTGTCAATGTCGCAGAGGGCTCTAAGGTCACCATACTTGGCATTGGCATAGTTAAAACTTAATGATGACTTGATTCTCAATAATGTTTTTTATATTCCTGCTTTGGATTGTAGCTTAATTTCAGTTAATACTCTCACAAGAGACTCTTAAGTGCTTTGCTTACTTTGATGAATTTGGTATATTTCAAACTTTGGAGACATGGAGGAGAATTGGCATAGCTAAAGAGTGTGGCAATCTCTACTGGTTTATAGCTCTGCTATTTCTTCTCTCCAAAATAATGATGCCGTTTTATGGCATTTTTTACTAGACCATCCTAGTTTCTTTTATCTTAAAACATCATCTCCTCATTTGAATAATAAAATTTCAGATTCGTTTTCTTGTGATACTTGCCAATTTTCAATACACACTAAAGCTTCTTATCCATCTCACCCTTATAAACCTTCCAAACCCTTTGTCCTAATTTATAATGACGTATGGGGATCTTCTAGCATGAAAAATATTAATGGAGGATGATCACACTCGTGTCACATGATTTTATCTTTGAAAAGAAAAATTTAAAGTACCACATATTTTTGAAAAAATCCATGCTCTCATCCGCACTCAGTTTCTATCACATACAAATCCTACGAACTGATAATAGCAAAGAATTTGTTAACAATACCATGAATCACTTTCTTTCTCACCATGGCATTATGCATCAATCCTCTTGTGTTAATATTCCCCAATCCTCTTGTGTTACAAGCAGCCCAATCTTTATTATTTGCCTACGATGTACCTACTTATTACTGGGGAGAAGCTATCCTTACTGCCACCTAACTCATAAATCAAATGCCGTACCAAGTTCTCAATTTCGCTATTCCCTTGAACCAACTCAGTGCGTCCTATCCCACCTCCAAACTCATGGTTTCCTTACCTCTCAAAATCTTTGACTTCACAACTTTTGTTCACAATGAACACTCTGAAAAGTTAGAACATCAATCCGTTAAATGTATCTTCATTGGATATTTCAGTTTCCAAAAAAGACACTAACGCTACTTGCCCAACCACAAAGAAGCTTTATATCTCCTTCAATATTACTTTTCATGAGCACTTACCATTTTATCCCCAAGCACCCATTCAAAGAGAGTGTACATCACAAGAATGGCTGCCTCCGCTCCTTGAACCAGTCCTAACCAATCTTAATGTCCTACCTATTGTACCAGCCATACCTATTGAAGAGCATAAGTTATCAACTACACCAATAACAAATCCCGAACAACTTGAACCACATGAAGGGTCAAACCACGAAATCCCTCACTTAGAATTTGAAAACTCAGGACCTAATACTGTATCACCTGTGAACAATTCATTCCTCCTCATAATGTCATAAAACAGCACGATTCACTTACAGCAGAGGAGTCAGACTCAACCTGAGAATCTACAAACCATTAGAGATGCTCACTCGAGGTAAGGTCTATCTGATTCCTTACTCTAAATGCTGAAGTAGAAAATCAAGATGATGAGTTACCTATAGCCCTCAGAAAGAGAGCAAGGATGTATACAATCTTATGATAGGTTGTCTCCCAAACTAAAGGCATTCGTACATAATGTGTCATTAGAAAAACTTTCACAAAACATTCATGAAGCATATAAGGAAGTTGAATGGAGAAAGGCAGTAAAGAAGGAATTAGATGCATTAAAGAAAAATGACACTTGGGAAATTGTTAATCTTCCTCTCAAATTTGTTGTTGGATATGAATATTCACTAAGAAGTACAATTCTGATGACAGCATCAATTGCTATAAAGTAAGTTGTTAACAACAGTTTTATGCAGATTAATATCGATTAGCAATTAACTAAAAAGCAATTTGGAAAAGAAATTACAAGTAAAGGAGGATGAGCCTCTTCCTCCACCTATTGATGCACGAAGGTACACAGCAGATTTGTAGGGAAGTTGATCAACTTGTCACACACTAGGCCAAATATTTCTTTTCCTGTAAATATGGCTAGTCAATACATGAGTGCTCCTAATGAGGAACATATGAATCTTGTAATGAGGATTCTACACTATTTCAAGATGACTCCTGGAAATGGCCTATTTTTCAACAAGGAAAACACGGGAGGTATTGAAATCTTCACAGATGCTGATTATGGAGGTTCTTCTAGATACGCCACCTATGTTTGGGGTAATCTGGTGACATGGAGAAGTGAGAAGCAAGAAATTGTTTCTGGAAGCCTTGTAGAATCTGAACTTAGAACGTTAGCACAAGGAATGTGCAAAGGTATATGGCTACTAATGTTACTCAAGGGACTCAAGAAAGATGTGACCTTGCCAATACAAATGTTTTGTAATAAAAAATCAGCTGTTAAAATGGCCAAAAATCCTATTCAACACGATTGGACAAAACATGTAGAGATTGATCGACACTTTATTTGAAAAAAAAAAAAAGATAGTCAAAGATCCTCGCAATATCTCACGTCCGGTCATGTTCCCAAGTGGTAGACCTACTTATAAAGGCTTTTTTAATAAGACCCAGATTTGAAGAACTCATGTCCAAGCTGGAAATGATCAATGTCTACTCTCCAGCTTGAGGGGGAGTGTTGAGTTATAAACTCAGGCCCAATTAGGCCTATTAGCAATTAATGAAAAACTCTTGATTATTTTGTAAATATCCCATATATCTAAGATAACTAGATTAGATATGATAGGATAGATTTAGATACTATGTTTAGGTTTATTTTTCACTTGTTGCCTACATTTCTTGCCCCCATATTTGACTCAATGTAAGTTCTTCATTCAAGCAATAATATTCAAAGGTGTACCATTTTTGTTTCTACAATATATTTTAAAGGATATTTTTCTAAAGTTCTAAAAATCTCCAACATCTAATTTTTGCCTCAGGATTTATTTATAAGAAATAACTTACAACTAAATTAAATTTTAAATACAACGTGTTTTTTTATTAATAGGTTTATAGGTAGTATTAAATCAGACAAGTAAAAAGTAGAGCACATAATGCAATTCTCTAAATAGTACACCGAATCCATATTCAAATATGTTATAACATATTAAGCTGGGTCACATGGGGAGAAAGATAACGAACATAACAAAAGCTGTTTGGATTTTTTGCTTACAACGGTTTTTATGCACATTAACATCAATTAGCAATTAACTAAAAAGAAATTAAATCGTGATGATATAAGATTGAGAGAAAGAAAACACCAGGCTCAATCATCAGAACTTTGAATAACCTTGTTAAAGTGAGGTAAACAATATGCATACAGGGAAGGCCACGAGGCAGCCATCAGTTGTATCGGTAAAAAAATTGCATACTGTAATTCTTACTCACATCGTAACATTTATAAATTAATAGCAATAATAATAATAATAATTGAATGAAAATAATTGTAAAATATCTCCTGGTGAAGTATTAATTCACTATAATACCTTTCTTTTCTATATGGAAGTGTTGAGCCTGGACACGGTTATGAGAGATCATGCTTCTCCTTTCCTTTCCTTTTGTCATCCAATGCCTGTAAACCCAGAAGAATGAAAGTTCCAAAAAGAAGAAATGTCAGACAAACCCAGTACCTAATTATTTCACAGCAACTCGTTTACAAGATTGCTGTCAACTATGGATACAATATAGCTTCAGACATGATGAAAGAAACCAATATTTGATTAATATAAAAAAAAATATAGACTTCATAGTATGCTGCACTATTCACCATGAATATTGAGACTCGTTTATGAAATTCTGCGTAGTGCATGAGAGGCCATCTAGCTATTGAGCAAAACTAAGAATGGTGTTACATCTACCACTTACGAACCAGGAAGAAGCAAAAAGCTGATGAAAGATTTAAGGAAAGACGGCAGGTTTTAGCTCTGGCAAGAGTAATTCAAGTTGTATAAAAATTTGGGAAAACTTGTTTCCAATGGAAAATCAAATTAAAGTCACCACGGTAATGCTTGGTTTTCAAATCTACAAGGGTAAAAACAGATGAGCTTGCCTCCCCATTCCTTGTTTGAAAAGAAATATATGAAGGTTATGCAACGGATACATAAAATTACCCCACCAAGGGTAACAAGTATCACAGTTTCTGTGTTTCATAAGTCATGGCATCTTTTGATAAGCAATAAAGTCCATTAAATATGTCATACTATCACAATGCTACATTTACTTGTCAATGGCTTTGCCAGCGATATACACTCATTTCTCAAAACGCAAAGCCATACCTTACTCTGATACATACGCATGGTCAACACAAGAGTGTCACGCATTCTACAAAATGAAGGGCAATGAACACTGTTAATAATCCAAATATCAAATGTATGCATGCTATGCACGATTTATCGATACTAGATTCTTTCCAATAGAAACCACGTGTAGCAATGTCCAAGGAAAATCCTAGGGAAAATTTTACTTGATCTAAATTGTTTAAAAGGAAGTTCACAAGAACCATAAATTAAACCAGGATTAAGGATGAGGGGAACAGAACAATGAATATAACTTCGGTTACTTATTGTCAGGAAGCTTAACCCCAAGTATTATGAACGATAGGAGACTACAGTAGAAACAAGAGTTAATAGGAGATTTTGTCTATCAACTCTTGTCTCTAGAAACAAGGCTATGCTCAGGCATTTGAAAGTGTATATTTGGAGCACATGGCACCCATCATAATTTACCAAAGCTAGAGTACTCGATTCAAAGAAAATGTTTGGAAACTAGTGAAACTTTACAGGACTTAGTTTTCAACAGGAACAGAGTACAAGCATTACCGGACATCATGTGTGCATAAAGGACGGGAAGATCCATTTGAGCATGTTAATACAAACTGTGTTGTGAGACCACAAGGAACTTTAATCTGCAGAAAAAACAATAAAATAAAGTGTGATTTTAACTCCTTAAACAAGATACAGTTATCAGCAAAATAATTCTGATTCAAGAAGAAATTGGAGTCATATGCCAAACAGAAAGGGCAGAAAGTTGTCCCCGAACATGTATATGGTCCAACTCTCACAATATTGAGAGATTATTCTTACAACTATAGATCAACTATTTTAATATATTTTCTGCAGTCATTTCTGTAATCATGGAACCGGGCACTATAACAATCACGTCTCTCCTATAGATAAATAATATAAGAAACAAAGACCTTGGTGCAAGTATTGTCATGAAACAGGCGACATCAAGGTTAACTGCTGGAAACTTCAAGGGAAACCAGTGAACTGGAAAGCAAAAGTAGAGGGATATTCACGGTATAATTGTGATCAATGAAGAGAGTAGAACAGGTTAATCCGTACCATTCTAATTAGTAAAGAAATTAAAGAAGTGTACACTGTTAATCCCCTCACCTGCTTAACTCCTAGGTGATGTCAACATTCAACAAGCATAAACTGAAGTAATTCCCCATTGACCCCTTCCTTTCATGTCTATGAACAACAAAACATAAAAGGAGCCATGAATCAACCTTTGTTGCCATCGTTGTGTCCTACACAATCACCACAGCCCTCAAGCCCCAGGGAAACATTTTCAATCCTCATGTCCAGAATCTAACAAATTTATAGAGTGACTTATTTAATTCCCACCCTTTATGAACATTGTACTTAATTTGGGAGCCAAGTGAATACTTCCATATACACACCATCCTTTAAATAACCCCCTTAGAAAGCATTCTACATATCAAGTTGGTGAGGCGGCCAATCAAGACCAGATGTCATGGAGAGTACTTTAATAGTGTTGAATTTTGCTGTTGGTACAAAAGCTTCTTGAATATCAATCTTGTATTTGAGTTAGCACTTCAACCAGCAGCCTTACTCTATGTTGACTGATGATTCCAATAGGGTCATACTTGATAATAAGCATCTTCTGGGGTAAATCAGCATTCCAACATTCCATTTCTGTCAAGGGTTATTTTTCCAACCAGGTGTTTCCATAGCCATAAAGATGAACAAAATAGATGTAAGAGAAAATAAAATATTGCTTATGTACAGTAAATTCACAAAATCACAGAGCATAATTTGTGAGATTCAATGTATATACTGCACATTGACAATGCTTGGCTAAATAATTTTAACCATGAGTTCTTCTAAGAGCCATATGTTCTATTAGTTGTCAACTTGCAGTTGATATACCATGCAACCAAATATGTGAGAAATGTAATTTCTTGATTTACATTGAAACCACTGCAATTAAACTATTATAAGGACTGTGATATCATAGGACATACCGATAACTCTGAGGAGAATTTCTCTTCTACTACCACTTCTTCTGACCTATTAATCTTAATTTGGTACCCTGATCGTCTTAAGAATAGAGTTGCTGGCTCCCAATTTTCGGAAGAATCCATCTATGAGAAATGAGCAGGAAAAATTAGATATGCAAGTTAAATTCACTAATCTGGCACAAATAATATTTCATCTAAAATAAAATACAGATTATATCCAAAAGAATTAGATGCAAAATGCTGAAAGCCTACAAATTAGTTTAGCACAGCAGATTGCCTATTGTAAATGTTTAAACTTCAAATAAGAACAAATAATCCAATTCACTATGTTGAAAACTGTGGAAGTACTAAGTTATTTTTAAATTACTGTATATGTAAATAGACTAACTCCTTGGTATTCTTTTAGGTCTAGGGCCGTTGTTGTAAACTTCACTTTGTCTTAGGCCTATAAATAGGGGCCTCCTCCCAAACTTGTAAACTGTCAGTCCCCATTGAGCACATGATGCAACTGGTTTATGGTCCAACAATCCGTTGCTGGCACCAAAACATGCAACAGGAGACATAATGTAGCAACGGAAGGTGAAAATGGTGGGGCTACTGCTCCAACAAAGGACCCAAAGTTTATATACAAAAAGAAAGAAAAGTGAAGGACCAAAAGAAGGGATGATGATGAAGAGGTAGGAGGGAGCAGTTAAAGAAATTTTTAGTGGGATATATAGAGATGATAGTCGAGAATGAAAGGGGGAAGAATAAGGATTGCATCTAAGTGTTGTGGAGAGATACAACCTCTCAAAAGTTGGCAAACCTCTTATATTCTTGAGGTTCTAGTTCTGCATTGTTGTGCTTGTACCATGTAGTTACTTTTTAACAAAATAATAAAAAATTCATAGAACATCTCTGCAGGTTTATTGATTTACAAATAGACATACAGGGCATGTGGCTAAGTAATTAAGTCAATGATCTCATTTAGAGTATTCTCCTCTGACAAATATTATCAGATGGCATAAAGATCTGGGAAGCAAAAAACCAGACTTACTAGAAGTTGAACATGGAATGTTGCTTTTCCTTTAGACAGGTTAGTGTCAATCTCTCGCTGCATTTCGGGATCTATAAATTCATCAGAAGAATGTGTTTAGAACAAATCAGGAGAGGATGAAGTAATGAAAGCCAATGGATATACGGCCACAAGTATGCATGAATCAGTCAAAGATAAAAATGTGCATTGCCTAAGTTGTACAGTTACTAATGCCTATAGCACTATTTTTATTTCATGACAATGCATGAGTGCTCTCACTAGTTTTATATGAAAGATATATCTGATCCACTATTACTCATACTTTATTCCCTATTTCTTTCACTTCAATTTTCATAAAGGAAGAACCAACTACACTAAACCTTTGGCTAGTGAAGCAAAATTGGAATGACCCTCATCTCTACCACTAAGATAGAAGACAAACTATCTCTTTCAAACCAAAAAAAAAAAAAGTAAAAACTTTTCATACGCATTTGTACATTTTGCATTATTTACTTATCTCCCAATTTTATCTCCTGCCATGTTTCATACCCAAACCCCATCTTCTGACATGTTTTATAATGTTTTTTGAACCAAATTTGTCTATTTTTCATGACGAATTGATGCATGATGTGAAAAGACGTTTTTGGAGTACAAATAGAGGGATTTAGCATATCTACAAGCCATGGATGTCTAGTCATGCATTCCCCCTTAGATTTGGCGTTTGGATGGATTTGTTTGCTGATTTATGATTGTATAAAGACCTAGTGTAGTTGATTTCTGTCATAATTAATCTATCATTCTATTTTAATTAACCACAAATTATAAGCCACCGTTTATGCATTAAATCTATTGCGTTACGCATTGAGAGGGGAATTGCAATAGGAGATCCCCAGAGAAATAGGCTTAGATCGAGTCAGGGAAATATATAAGCGCTAATGAGGGAAATTAAAGGTTGTATGCATGCGAAGCCATTATTCTAAATTCTATTGAGCCTAAGGGATTAAGTTAGGATATATGAACATGAAAATAGCTATAATCCTAATATCAGATACACATTTTCTATATCAAAAGGGAAGTTCATAACCATGAGGGAATCAGTTGTTAATCAAAATAAAAGTCGGACATGAGTTTATCTTTGTTCATTCGTAGGAAGTATATCATGAAAGCCACATTCTAGAATAAGATACACATTTTCTATCTCAAAAGGGAATTTCACAAGCCTGAGGGAATTAGCTGTTAATCAAAATAAATGTCAGACATGAGTTTATGTTCATTCGTAGGAAGCATATAATGAAATCCCAATTCGACAGTTCTTTTATAATTAATTTAGTTTTTGTAAATTTGCAATATAGGTGTTAATTCACACTAGAAGCGCTCCCCCCCCCCCCCCCGCCCCCACCCCAAAAAAAGAAAAAGAAAAAAAGAAGAAGAAGAAGAAGAGAAAACTTAGAGACCTAATGCAGCTCGAATTTGTTTTGACACCTTTTATATTAACAAAATAACTTTTAGCACGTTAGGTTATCTTCACTTTGTTAAGAAAAATAAATTCCAATTGAAGTAGATGCTTTAAAAGCCAGCAGCAAACAAACTTACCGCATCTAATTTTGTTTTGATCATTAGCAAAAAGATTCACTAGCTCCCCCTGATTAAGACAACAAGATTGACGAAAGAAATAATCAGGAATACATTTTCATAGAAGAGATATATCTACCATTCCTACTATATATTATTTCTAAAAAACACAGCTACAATAACTCATTAAATCTCGAATGATAGGATTCATCTGGAAGCAGGGAAAAGATCAAGGGAACCTAAATCCTTAACAAATTTTAATGCTGATACACCAAGATTCCTCAATGTCTGTTATTGCATCTTACCTTCGCATCAACACAATCCATTATATTGAAATAGACTTCATAGTCTAATAGAAATTTTTTTGTGTGTTCCAGACAAAATGTCTAATTTCTCATGATGTTGAAGAGTCAAAGTACATGGGTATTTGTGGAGAAAAACTACTCTATGAGATGAAGTAAACGTTAAACAACCACACTATCCATTAACGACTGATTGATTTCCTAAGCAGTTTCTTAATTCCTAGGGTCAGCTATGGACATTAATCATCATAACTACAATGATTTCAAATGCACCACCTCAAAGCCAGCAGTGGATATCATCAATTTTAAGATTGATGATTAGATGACACAATAATTTATAGTAAGTGCATCTACAAGATGGGTTCAATAAGAAACCAAAGGAGTACCAATTAGACAGCCACCCAGTTTTCACTTTGATAAAGTGTTTCTTACATAATATGTTTAACATAGTCATGTTGAACCAATTGTGAGTAATACTAGTAGTGGATTCATTTGTCACAATAAAATTTTACTGGGCCTTTCATTTTGTCTTAATATCTTCCAAGTTATCTTAAGCAATAATAATTTAGATATTCTATTGAAGTGCTTTGTCCATGGGTCACATATTCATATTGGGGTGACCAAGCTGATTCTGTTTTCAATAGATTTTTTATTTGTTTTCCATTCTTGTTATTCTCGTTGGTTCTACAATCAAGTCGCTTACTTATATTCAAGCTTTCTTATTTTTATGCCATTTTATTTTGGATTTGACTTGAAAGGTGGTTGCTACCAATTCTATTATTCAATAAGACCAGACTGACCGGTTTAACCAGCAAACTAGTGAATTGATGCATAGTCCAGTCCGGAATGGGGAGAAGAATTGACAAACAGCCTAGAATCAATCAAACCAGCTAAAGTCACTAAAACCAGTAAGCGGTTGAACTGGAAGAATTTTTTTTTTTTTTTTTTTTAAGATTTTCTTAAAACCTGTAGAGATATTATAGGAGATATTATAAGATATGTAAATATCCTGTAATTAGCATATAGGATACGATATGATATGATTTCCTAGTAATAAGCCATTAATACTTAGGCTCCTCTATTTTGTATATATACCCAATCAGAGTATCAACAAAATACACAATTTTTATTCTCTAAATTACATGGCATCAGAGCCAGTTTAATAGGGTTAAAAGAAACGTTTTTTCTTGCCTCCAACGTCTGTGCACTGTTCACCAGCATCCCTGCACTGTTCACACGGCTACCACAAAGCTCCATTTTCCTGCCCTCTACAGTGCACATGCGCTGGTCAAAGGAGGTCGCAGGTTCCGATCGGCCAACAACCGGAGTCTCGTCGTCATCCAAGCAGCGCGTGGCCTTCACGCTCCGTCACCCTAAGCCTGCACTGTTCACACGCCGTCCCGTTTTCCGGCGTTGTCTCTCGGTTTCCGGCGTCATCTGTTGTTTTCCGACCCATCCCTGCTGCTTCTACTTCCCGGGTCCCGTTGTTTGTTGTGCTTCAGAGCACTTTGGCTTCCTGAGAGAGCGTTGGTACTCTAGTTTGTGGAATTCTGATATGTCTTTTTCTGGTTTGTGGAATTCTGATTTGTTTTTGTGGTCCCTCGTGTGATCCATTTGGCTAAATAGTGTTGCTGTGATAATTATTGTCCTAATGGGTGATAACAAGTCTGTTGTTCCTGAGGTGGTTCCAGTAGTCACTAAGATTACTGAACACAAACTAACTTGGAAAAATTGTCTAGACTAGAGTAAGACTATTCGTATTTATTTTCGGAGTATTGAGAAGGAAGATCACTTGACTGACAATCCTCCTGACGATAAGGATGCTTCTCGCAAGTCATGGTTAAGAGATGATGCACGGCTTCTGTTACAACTTCGTGACTCTATTGACAATGAGATCATGCCTTCTATTACTCATTGTGAATTTGTTAAAGAACTAATGGATTATTTGGCACTTTTATACTCAGGAAAGAACATCTCTCGTATTTACGAGATCTGCAGATCGTTCTATTGGTCTGAGATGCCAGTTGATCGTTCCCTCACAAACTTCTTTATGGAGTTTAAAAGCACCTATGAAGAGCTCAATGTTCTTATGCCTATTTCTGATGATAGGAAAGTTAATGTGTCTCACCGCGAGCAGATGGCCACCATGAGTTTTCTGATTGCACTGCCATCTCAGTATGCGGCTGCTCGATCGCAAATTTTATTTGGAGTTGAAATCCCCTCTTGAAGAAGCTTTCTCTCGTGTACTGAGAACTGAACAAAACCCTTCCTCAGCTCCCATTACACCCACTAGTGCATTACTCAGTCGAGGCCAGAATGACAATCGAGGGCTCCCTAATCATAGTGGTCCGAAACCAGGAGGTGTTAATCAAGAACCCAAAGAAGTGATATGTTACTACTGTAAGGAACCGGGACATACTAAACGCACATGTCGTAAGCTGCAAAACAAACAACAACAACAAAGCTCTGCCCATGTGGCCACAACAGCCAATGACACGGTTACTATCTCAGCTACCGAGTATGCTCAATTAAAGTTTGCAAATCCCCCCGTGAATGCTGCTAGTGCAACAGGTAATGAGGCTACTGCCATTGTCTCTTCTTCCTCCAAATGGATCATAGACTCTGGTGCTACTGACCACATGACAGGTAACCGTCATCTCTTCTCTAGCTATAATTCTTATGCCAACCCTTCTGCTATCACCATTGCGGATGGTTCCCACTCTCGTGTCCTTGGATCTGGCACTGTTAAACCTACTCCTTCTATTCACTTAAAATCTGTACTCAATGTCCCTAATCTTGCTTTTAACCTTTTGTCCCCTAGCAAGCTTACTCGCCAATTAAATTGTTGGGTCTCACTTTTCCCTGACCATTGCTTGATACAGGATCTTTTGACGAAGAAGATTATTGGTAAGGGCTACGAATTTGGCAGACATTACTTCCTTGATGATCAGGGGTCTCGTGCGGTGGCTTGTATTGGTGGTGTCACTCCGTTTGAAGCACATTGTTATTTGGGTCATTTATCTTTATCTTCTTTAAAAAGGGTTTATCCTCAGTTTCAGCATTTGTCGTCTTTAGATTGTGAGTCGTGTCAGTTTGTTAAACATCATCGTCTGCCGTTAGTGTCTAGAGTCAATAAACAGGCTTCGTCCCCTTTTGAGTTAGTGCACTTCGATATTTGGGGTCCATGTCCAGTTGAGTCCAAAGGTGGTTTTAAATATTTTGTCACATTTGTTGATGATTATTCCTGTACCACTTGGTTATATTTAATGAAAAATCGTTCTGAGCTTTTCTCTCACTTTTGTGCTTTTGTTGCTGAAATTAAAACTCAATTCAATACTCTTGTCCACACCTTACGCAGTGATAATGCTAAAGAATATTTTTCTGAATCCTTTCACTCTTTTATGCTTCAACACGGCATTCTTCATCAATCTTCTTGTGTGGATACACCGGCTCAGAATGGTGTTGCCGAAAGAAAAAATCGTCACTTATTAGAAGTGGCCTGTGCACTTTTATTTCAAATGTAGGTTCCAAAAACATTTTGGGCAAATGCTGTCTCCACAGCTTGCTTTCTTATTAATCGCATGCCCTCCTCTGTCATTGATGGTAACATTCCCTACACCACCCTCTTTCCTTCCAAAGCCTTGTTCCCACTTGATCATAAGATCTTTGGCTGTGTTTGTTTTGTTCGGGATGTGTGTCCCACAGTCTCCAAATTGGACCCCGTCTCTTAAATGTCTTTCTTGGCTACTCTCGAGTTCAAAAGGGTTATCGGTGTTTCTCTCCTACTCTGAATCGTTATCTGGTTTCAGCCGATGTCACTTTTCAGGAATCTGTTGCCTACTTTGCATCTAACGCTTCTGCTTCACCTTCCCCACCAGCGGAGGAGGATACCTTTCTGGTATATTCAGTCAGTCCAACCCCACCACCAGCACCAGCTCCCGTATTGGCACCTGGTCAACCACCTCTGTCTCGGGTTTACACCAGACGTTTGAAGGAAACTATTCCTACTGTTGCGCCACATTCTGCTCCACCATTATCTGCTTCGTCATCCGATCCTGCAGCACGCATCCCGCACCCTGAGCCTGACCCTGTTCCAGGTCTAGATGCTGATCCCTTACTTGACTCTAAGACACCTCCTGTTCCAGATCCAGATCCCTCCCTTGATTTGCCCATTGCCCTTCGCAAAGGTAAACATACTTGTGCCCATCCTATTTCTTCCTTTGTTTCATATAACCACCTCCCCTCTGTTTCTCGTGCCTTTGTTGCCTCTTTAGATACTATTTCAGTACCTAAGTCCCTTCATGAAGCCTTGTCCCACCTGGGTTGGCGTATTGCTATGGAAGAAGAGATGGCGACCCTTCATTGTGCTGGCACGTGGACCTTAGTGGATTTACCAGCAGGAAAGAAAGCTATTGGGTGTAAATGGGTGTTGACCCCTGAAGTTAAGGCAGATGGTACACTTGAACACCTCAAGGCTCGCCTCGTTGCAAAAGGCTATGCCCAAAAGTATGGTATTGACTACTCTGAGACTTTCTCCCCCGTGGCCAAGCTCTCCTCTATTCGTCTGTTCATCTCCATGGCCACTACCTATAGTTGGGATCTCCATCAGTTAGATGTCAAAAATGCCTTCTTAAACGGTGATCTCCTTGAAGAAGTGTACATGGAGCAACCACCGGGTTTTGTTGCTCAAGGGGAGTGTGGAAAGGTGTGTCGCCTTAAGAAATCCCTTTATGGCTTAAAGCAAAGTCCTCGGGCATGGTTTGACAGATTTAGTACTGTTGTGAAGAACTTTGGCCTGCACCAGAGTAAGTGTGATCATTCTGTGTTCTATCAGCAAACAAGTGCCGGCATGATCCTACTGGTTGTGTATGTCGATGACATTGTGATTACAGGAAATAATGCCTCGGGGATCTCATCACTCAAGTCATTCCTTAACTCACATTTTCAAACGAAGGATCTGGGTTCATTGAAGTACTTTCTAGGAATTGAAGTCATGAGGAGCAAGAAAGGCATCTTATTGACTCAGAAAAAGTATGTTCTTGATCTGCTGAAAGAAACTGGGAAACTAGGGGCTGCCCCGACCAGCTTCCCTATGGTCTATAATCCTCTGCTTGATGCTGATGGTAGCATACCATGTGAAAATCCTGATGAGGCGGCTAAGAGCAAGCCGTTTGAAAATCCAGAGAGGTATAGGAGACTGATTGGGAAGTTGAATTACCTTACAGTGACTCATCCTGATATCACCTATCCAGTGAGTGTCCTTAGCCAATTTATGGTTGCGCCAACTGTCCGACAGTGGGAAGCCTTAGAGCATGTGTTATACTACTTGAAGGGATCCCCGAGTCGTGGGATATTGTACAAAAATCATGGTCACACAGACATTGAGTGCTTTTGTGATGCTGATCATGGTGGGTCAAAAGCCACGAGACGATCCACTACAGGATACTGTGTTTTTGTAGGAGGCAATTTGGTGTCTTGGAAAAGCAAGAAACAGAATGTGGTGTCAAGATCAAGTGCAGAAGCAGAATACAGAACCATGGCACAATCTGTATGTGAGATAGTTTGGATATACCAGCTACTAAAAGAGGTTGGTCTTAAAACCTCGTTACCAGCAAAACTATGGTGTGATAATAAAGCAGCCTTACACATAGCGTCGAATTCGGTCTTCCATGAACGAACGAAACATATTGAGATTGACTGTCATTTCGTCCGAGACAAGCTCAAGGAAAACTTCATCTCTACAGGACATGTCAGATCCAGCGATCAATTGGGTGATCTCCTCACCAAAGCTCTTAATGGGGTTCAAGTTGAATATCTTTGTAACAAGTTGGGCATGATTGATATCTATGCTCCAACTTGAGGGGGAGTGTAGAGATATTATAGGAGATATTATAAGATATGTAAATATCCTGTAATTAGTATATAGGATACGATATGATATGATTTTCTAATAATGAGCCATTAATACCTAGGCTCCTCTATTTTGTATATATACCCAATCACAGCATCAATAAAATACACAATTTTCATTCTCTAAATTACAAAACCTAAGCCATATTTTATGCATAATTATACACTACAAGCATTGGAAAAGAAATACTAGTAGGAAAATATGCAGGAAATATGTGTTTGTGTATATCACAATTATTAAGTCATAAAATAAGTATATACATGATAGGAGTATTACATCTCATCGTTATTTTATTTTTGACGATAAAATAATGATTAACTTTTAAAAATTATATACATACTTATTATCTATAGTCGCTTTCTATTTTTTATTGATTTTATTATTTTTATTTGAAATCAATTTTTCATATATTTTTGTGATTACCTTTTGTCTTCCTTGCTTAAAATAGTTAGCACATATTTCAAATATATTAATTTAATCATGACCAGGTCAATCATGGTCCAACCATTACATTCTGAACTAGTACTTTGCCTAATTTAATGGCCAATTCGGTTCTTTATCCTGGGCTTAAGCAGTAACTCTTTCAAGCTGACCACCATGACTGGCTAACAGCTATCCAATTATGGTTCTGCTCCTCATGTGGCTGTCAAAAACCTCCTCAAATTTATATAGGTGGAAAGAGAAGGAGAATCTTATTAACGTAATTGCATAGCCACGTGAAGCAGATCCTAAGTGCTAACCTTGGCTTGCAGAAAACAATATGTGATGTGACCGCGGATGAAAATAGATCAGGAAGGAAAATATTAATTTTTTGTTAATAACGAATTTAATAAACATAATCTTGATATCTCGCATTTATTGGGCATGCAGCGTAATGTTCATAACGCCCTATACTATTGAAACTCGCAAAGAAAGTTTTGTCAAACCTGACGGCCTTCATCATCCATTGGAATGCACTCAACAGATATCACTTTATCAACATCATCAGCTGTAACTACATACTCAGGATTAGTGGCACCTGATCCAAGAAACAACAAAACGATAAAATATTATGCTCAACTTCTATCAGGGCCATCAACTCAGTGCAAAAAGAAATGGAGGTCATTTCACCTTCAATGTATTGCCTAGTACCATCCTGAAGATGCCGGACCCACTAATGCAAAACCAGCAGTCAAGATGATATCAGTAATAAGAGAGAGAAATTGGATGCAATTTCAATACAAGAATGATTGGCAAGAATTTTAACCTGAAACATACAAAGAGAAGTCCCCCGTACTTGATATCCACATCCAAGAAGTTTCTCTCCAGGAACAGCCTCACCAATAATTTGAAAATTCTCTATGCCCGGGCCATCTAAATTGATGCAACAGGTTAGGATAAAGGTATGCGGTCCATCTTTAATTCTAAATCATAAAATATCTTCATAAACGGAAGATATTGCACCTTGATCATATTGCGGTGAAGGTTGAGACCAGTTGCCATTAAACATTCTTTCTCTGGCTCTATCATGAATTACATTATTATCATGTATTTGAGAGAACGATATACCCCTGGACAAGTCATTTCATGAGTAAGAAGATATATCCAAAACAAAATAAGCCAAATCAATATTAGTAAGCAACAAAGAGTTTTAAAGTCTCACATTTCCTTATTGAGAATGAGGCAATTACATGCTTTTTTTTTTTCCCCTTCTTTTATGCAAAGGGGGCTTACTCAAGGGACAAATTTCAAAACATTAGGGAATAATGGAATAATTAAAACAAAATTAGCTAAAAAAATAACATTAATTACAATTCTAATATTCCACGTCAAGCTGGGGAATGCATGCCTTCCATGGCTACGTTGATGATTAAGTTTGAAAAATATCACTAGATAACTCTGGTAAGTGGATATGCAAGTTGGTCACTTAAAAAAACACAGCAATGAAGGACCTAAATGCAAAAAGTTGCCTCAGGGTACAGAATGAGAGAAAAAAAATTATCATGACAAAGAAAGTCAATGCTTAGAAAGGAAAAAGAATGACAATTAAGGCCATAAATGGGGAAAGGTAGCATCTCAATAGCAATGAAAGCTACAAATTAAAAGAAAAGGTCTCGTGGCAATGAAAGCCACATGAAAAAAATGGCAATGGAAAACCGTGTATGGTTAACAGTAAATAATTTTTCCTCAGGAAAATGCAAAAAATGTTGAGAATATATGGTGCTCTCGTGGTTGATGTAATGACACAAGTTGATGGTTTGGTCATATTTTGATATCATCATAAAAAGATGATAATCTAGGTATTTTCATCGAAGCACCTTGGGATGGTGACTAAAGGTGACAATCAAAGGATAGCACTGATCAAGAGTGAAGAACAATAGAGGATAGCTTCAAAAAATTGAATGAGGCCCAACTAAAGAAGGTGACGAGTTACAACACAATGCAGAGCTTGTGACCACTTCTTGCCAAACAGTGGACAAAGGAAGAGCTCTCCATGCTCACACATTACTGAGCAGTGTCAGTCCCAGCAATTCTGAAGTGGCACGTAATGGCACTTGGAGTCTAGCTGTAGTTCTGTCAACATTAGTAGGCCGGTTGGCAAGTTTTGTACAGATCTCTTCAGTGCTTGGATCAAAATTGAACCCAGAAAACAGCAAAGCTTGTCTTAGCAGCTATGAAGGCCACACAAAAATGAAAGAAAGACCAGTGACGCTCAAGGTCACCTTGAGACTAATAAAAGTTTACTGGAATGAAGCCACCATGGGGAAAAGCTGATTAGAGGAGGCGGGGAGGGGCCACAACTTTGCTAAACATGTGGGCAAAGCATCCACAACTTTTCTCTCTTACCAACTCTTGACACCACGACAAAAGGTTATATACTGTCACTAATATAATGGGGCAACTACACAAGTACTTATAGACACAAAAGGGATCTATTCTAGAGTCGTATGACAGCAAGGGACAATAGGAAATGATGAAATAACTAAAATAGAAATAATTAAGAACAAAACATCATTTACAATTCCACACTATGCAAATTTCATCTTATGACCATAATTTAATTGCTAAACCCTTAGGTAATTCTTATATGTAAATGGAGAGGGCAGATGTGTAACGGCTCATAGCATAGAAGCATGCATGTCCTATCACATTATATTGGATGATTAGAAAATTATCACTGTCTTTTCACTTGCTAAAATCAAAACTCAGCTAGCATTCAGGTTGATAGCAGCCCATGCTAGAGTTTAGGCTGTGGTTAAAGATACCTTCCAACACATTTTGCTTTTCAAATTATATGTAAGGGACATCAAATTGAAAAGCCAAACTGCATATAAAACGAACCTATCAGCTTAAGATGTGATGATTGACCCTATTAATTGCAAAGTTTACATTCGCGTTAGGAACTAGGCTTCTAGCATCCAAAAAACATCATAGTGGACATACCGTGCCATGTTGCTCGTCAAATGTGCATGCTGTTCATTCCTAACATTGTGCTGTGGAAAATCATGTTGAATCTGCAAAGAAAACCTAGATTTCAATAAAATCAGAAAGAAAATACTTTAAATCAAAAATTAAAGAAGCACAGATAAAGTAAGCACAACACATGCAATGAGACTATATGACAATAGTATTGCTACCATGGATGGATTATACAAATGATTTGTCCAATTTCCAGATCCTGGACTTTCAACACGAACACCATTTTCACCGTAACTTTGTAGCACAGAACTTAAATCTCTAATTCTGTCCTGGAAAAAAAAAAAAACAGAAAAGAAAATGGTCATTTAGCGATAACTAAAAATCTATGGCCTTTGTAAATGACCCATTAAATCAAATATAGATTTTACTAGTGACAGAGCTATATTTCAACATTCAACAATGAACACCACCTAGAATGAGTGGCAAGATATATGAAACAAATACTGTTGACAGCTCAAATTACGGAATCTTTTTTATGCAGAACAAATCATAGACCAGAAAAGAGAATAATCCAAAATAATTTAATTGCTTATGATTTCAAGAATAATTGGATTAATAATGAAGGTTAAATTCTTGGGATCTTTTCTGGAATAGTTCTAGACGGTAAATACTATTATTTTACTATGATATCATGTACACTGACAAAAGTCTCCAACTCTGTTCATATCTATGAATGGGAATACGGCTTCCTCCTCTTAACTGCAAAGAGAACGTGCAGCTACTCCAACAACAAAGCAAGAATTAAGCAAGAAAATAAGGGCCAAAAACAAAGAAAGACTGAACAAATTATACATGATAATGAAGATTCACAATCTTACATGCGAACTTCGGATCCTCCACTGTAATTGATCGTGTAAATGCTGCATAAATACATAATAATTACTTAAATCGTGGATAAAACAATTTATTAAACCATATACACAAACTTCAGAGAGAAAACAAAAGAAAATGAACAGAAATCACACCCAAAATACATATATTCACGTGCAAACAACAATGACAAAGTCAGAGATGTATTTAATGCTTTTGCTATTTATCTTTCATTTAAGATATTCATTATATAATTAAAAATATATTTATGTACTTATGACCAGTTCAAGCATAATTTGATCATCATCCGAACATTGAACAATAAATCAATTCCTCGACCAGTTCAATTGTAGATCTAGTTTTTAATACCTTGCTTTAAACATCCTTGAAGGAATAGGAGTGTTTGGTTGCAAGTTAGCGGAGACTCCTTTGCAATGAGCCTAAAAAGAAGGGCTAAAACTATTAGATACTCCAATTGACACTAGTGGATTTACAGATTAGTTGGAAAATGCATTTATCTTTCTCGTACTAGACCTAAAACTAGTTTTCCTATAAATTTGGTTTGCCAATACTTGAGTAAGCCAGCTATAAAGCACTTCCTTTGGGGGTCAAAACACGTAAATAGCGGCATAAAAGTTTATAGTAAAGCATATTGAGAAAGATCTATCAATGAAAGATGGTCCACTTCACAATATTGTACACTTGATCGTGGAAATCTTCTCACGTGTAGCAGAGGAAAACAAGTTGTCATTAGAAGCAACACGAGAGGCAAATTTATAGCTCAAGATCATCAGATTTGTGAGGTTTGGTGGCTTAGAAGAATATAGGAAGAAATGATTATCCTTATATTGTGAAAATATGGCAACAATTGGTATTGTAAAGAATATTGTGAATCATAATAGAATAAAGCATGTGGCAACTGATCTGACATTTCAATAAGGGAAACTTTCAAGTGGGTATGCTTTGATTGACTTATCCTTTAGACCTAAGTCAAATAGCATATCTTTCAACAGAGGTTTTTCCTCATCTCACGTTTGAAGCACTAACTAACAAATTAGGCACATTGGACACCTTCAACCTATCTTGCAGGGGACTGTTGCAAATCACAGGTGCTTCCCATAGGTCTTTAGCATCTTCTCCTTTAATCTCTTTAATCCGAGATAATTTGTTTTGATTCTGCCTCCTACTTATATCCCTTTATTAATTTCGTTCAAAAACTAAAGTATATTTGCATTTTGATTTTTTTTTCCCTTTTTTTTTTTTCTTTTTTCTTTTTTTTTTTTTCTTTTCCTTCTTGGTCTGCCAACATATTTGAGTTTTGCTAACTTGCTGTGATTCTGGGAAATATGTTCCCTGCCTCCTCCAGCTTGCACACCCCTTCTGATTAAGTAAAAGCAAGCATTTAAATCTGTTTTCCCTCAGAAATTGCACAAACAACCTTGATAATAATAGACCTTAGTGATCCAGAATCTGATATTTTCTTTTTCCTTTTCATAAAATAAATAAAATCAAGTATAGAACAATAGAGATAGCAACCATGCCAATCGAAGCATTCACTATTTAGCAAGCAAACCCATAATGAGCCTGAAGTACAAGAAGGAAGGCTACTTAAAGAGGTACTGATTCAGTTGGAAAGATAACTTCAGTGCAACTGATATGTTTGACCCACATAACAGTCAATGAAATTGTCACTCAAATTTCACAAAGAAAACGCTTGAGCCATTTAAGTAGGTAATGGAACCATTGAGATAGATCCTCATTGAGTACGTCCATTTGCAAATGAGGAATGGCTTAGAAAGAGCAGAGAAAGGTAGTCGGTTGCGAACGAATAATTCACAGTGAATTAATACTAATAAAGTGGAATGGCCACCGCTGGGAGAAACAGGAGGGAAAAAAAGAGGAATGGGCACCACTATAAAAAATTATGTCCCGCAGCTCCCAAGAGCATTGGAAAGCGGTATTCCCTCTATTCATTGGAGCACCATAGGCCTTACAAGTTCACATCAGCAATATATTTTCTGGTGACATGAAATCATATCAATAAACAATCATCCACATCTACTAAGTAGACATTTCAGGAACATATCAAAAAATTGCGTCTCGCTCACAAATCTCCCATAACGATCATTTTAAAGAAAAGAACTGATAAAGAGGTTCAATTCAAGATTTATGCAAATCAGTACATAGCATGTTTCACCAATCACCTTTCCAGTATTGCGCCATCCATACCTTTATGCTGTTAGATATTGAAGAAGCGTTCATAACACGAGGCCATAAGCTATATTCAGCAAGTAACCCCAGCATCGATGACATGAAGATATATCTCTCGTCTTCTGCAGCCTATAATATAGTTTATCATAAAGAACAGCAGCCAGACAACAGAACCATGTACTAAAAACAATAAGACCATCCTTATGAGATACATGTTTCAACGTAAGCAACTCTAATTTCAAGACAAGAAACCATGCCTTTTATGTTCAAGCTTTTCATTAGCAAAAATCAGTGGGCTCAGTATCACAGGGCCCAAATTGTTTACATGATTGGCATCCATGATCATTATGATAGTTGGAAGAGAATAGGGGTAGGTAGAAGAAGAAAGAGGTATAGTGTTAGGATCCTAATCGGATTTTCTAAGATGAAGGGAGAACAATGACAATGACACCCCACTGGATCTCTCAAGTAAGAATCTCAACTAATAAACCGTAGTAGCCAAGGATAAATTCTATTAAGAACGAGTAAACTAAGAATCTCACTCTACACACCCTCAACAGCCAAATCAATAGAGAATTTCCAACTAATTCAAATAATATTTTATTTCTCAACGATGATTAGCCTTAAGGCTTGCTAGCCTATTTATAAACCGAAAATACACTGAAGTAATTAACAGAAAAATATAAAATACTTCCTAATATCTAGGAACTACTTGTAAACAGAAAAGAACGTTGGTGGACTTGTTCAACAGCCAAGAGCCCACTTATTTAGCTAACTCTAAAATAATCAAAATAAAACAATTTAAAACTTATTCAAACTAATACAAATTTCAGCCTAAGGATTTGACCCAGCTATTCTCCTTTTCTTCCGCCACTGTTGCTGATTAGGATTAGGATTCATATCATATAGTGTATAGGAATTCTCACCAACTGACTTAGCAACTCCTCAAGTCAGGTTACAAATTATTTACCTAAGTTAGATGACTGACTAAATAACTACCATAACAGCATGTGATTGAATTCAGCAAGAAGTTTTACAGCCTCCCTTTTGCCACACACCATGGCTGCTTTTACTGCCAAATCATAATTCCCAGTAACCCCTGAACTCACGTACATTTAGATGACATGATTTCCTGCCACATAAGCCTTAACAGCTTATTCTGTTTTTTAAGTCGTTATTATTCCTTTAATTTATTTATTTTTCTTTCATTTTCTTTCCTTTTTTCTTCATTTCAATAGCTCCTTTGACCTATATCTTGTAAATGGGATGGAATAAAGATGGAATGAGAGGCTACCCTATAGTGTCTCTTCCTATACACATTTATTTGGCACCTTCAAAAAAAAATTACAGAGAAATTATTTCTCTCATCATCTCAGCCTCTCTCCTTTTCCTATTTCATGAGCTAGCTCTTGACATGTCAGAGTGCTGAAATTCAGCCTTCAGACAATCAGAAGGGAAAAAGTTACCCCCTTCAGATATGCCCCCTCATACTATTGTGCAACGTTGAATGCCCCAGCCTACAAGATTTAAAGACCCTCAACCTACTTCCAACATCATCCACATGCTGAATGGACTAGACTACCTTCAGTGCAGTAAATCTGTGCTCATGTTTGCGAGTGAAGGGTTAAGAGTACTTGACTGTTGAGATTGTTCAACCTGCAAAAGATAATCCAAAGTACAAGGTGTGGAATGCTAAGAAAATCTTTTTTACGTCTTATTTTGTTAATTCTATGTCTATGAAGATTGGAGAAAACTACCTATTCTACAAGAAGGCTAGTGATATCTAAGTGAGCATTCATAAGTCAAACTATGCGGGAGAATTTTCACAAAATCTTCATTCAAAAACTAGAGCAAGGTGAGATGGTGGTCAACCAATGATATCCTCACCAAATATTGGTAGCAACTAGCTGAAAGTGACAAAAGAAAGAATGTAGCTTCAATCTTTAACTTCTCTCATATTCCACGCCATGGTAAAAACTAAAGATTGAAGCTACAGAATTTCTTGTCACCTCTGAAGGTATAATATTCTGGGGGGGGGCGGGGGACTATTTTGTTTCATTCCTCGATAAATCATCTTCTCATGTCTCATAATATGAAATATGAATAAAAGAAAGCATTATAACATTAGCAAAAGTCAAAAAGGGAATGTCTTTTTTATATTATATTATGCCTCATTCATTACCAGTAAAATAAAATTGGTATTGAAGATTCAGATAAGAAACCGGAGGATTCTACAAGAAAAAGAAAATTAAATATCAACTATCTGACTTCTACTATGCAAAAAGTCATGGCCATGGCACTATACAAGCATTAAGAACAAAATGCCAGCAACAAAATGGTGAGATTGTTATGGAGATGGATACCCAGTTTCAATTCACATTCTTAAGCTTATGCTGTAGCTCTTTTGCTTGAGAACATAAGTGGAGTGCTTTTATAGATGGTAACTCAGAAGACCAATTCCTTTAAGATTCACAAGGCACACCCTTAATACACCCTTAGTTCTGTGACCCACTAAGAGGCCATAAAAACAATCCCTTTCTGAAAAAGAAGTGATAGAAGCAACTTTGGATTACAAACTCTTGCTTCGATTTTAACCAATGACAAAATAATTGTGTTGAGCCTAAGTATACGTACGTGAGAAAGAAAGCCCAAATGTAGCCTAGTTTATAAGGGTGTGTGCGTGAGTGGCATGAGCCCGGTTTATAAGGGTGTGTGTGTGAATTGCATGAGAAGGGTAATTGTGGTTTTTAGTAAACAGACGGTTAGGCAGTGGAACGGATATAAGTATCTGTTAGTTGCATGTAAGGGGCACGGAAAATAGTGAGTGAACAGTGAGGAGAGTGGTGTTCTCGAATGCACCGGTCTATCCGATTTCCCCTTGGCTGTATTCTTCCACTGGGTTATGCTGGTGGATCGTTTCTGGTTATATCTAATAATACAGTAATTCTGGAGTAGTTTCCATCAAATTGTCACAAGGCAACATGGACAGTCATGGATGACCTTCAAAGTCAACCCTGCTTCTGTTAAGAGGTCAATCAGTTAGGTCCACAAGTCAGGTAATTAAGAGTAACAACCAGAATGGTGTCAGTCACTTCGCCTAGTTATAACGGAAATGTGGGTCTGTTTCAGTTTGTTGAATGAATCGAATGTTCTTCTCTGTATTACTATTCACGCTTCTGTTTTCCTATTCTATGGTGCACTTTGCGCTAATAATCCTGCAAAAGCTGAACACTGACAAGGAACACTACGCTCCTTACTTGCCCTAAACCATAAAGTGAATAGTTCAGGGAAGGAAAAAACATAGATCATCTGGTCAAAGATGGCACCTATTGATGTAAGCAAAACACTAACACAACCATGAAAAATTAACTTACCTTCAAATCATGAACCAATTTTAAATTTTGTTCAAGATCACCCTTTCTACGAGCCAACTCATTGGATGCAGAAGTAATGGCTTCATTTTGCTTTTCATCAATTGCCTAAGCAAACAAATTTTCAAAATCATCTTTGTCAAAGTAAGAAGCTAGAAGATAACTTTTCAAGGAAATCACATACCATTCTTAGTTCAGAGAATTTTCTCTCTAATTTGTATTTTTCATTCAACAGCTGCAATTCCTGCTGCGATAAATTAATTAATTTCTTCAAATATCAATGATGAACGAATAATATTTCTGGTTTAAATTTCATACTTTCACACAAGCAACAGCAATCTGTTCACGAAGGGATAGGATCTCTGCCTCCTGTGCCCTGGCTCTTGAATAAAGCTCCTACACCATTAACATATAATTTGATATGTCATGTCAAGCTTCTTGTATGATCAAGAGAGATCACATACAAAAACTCAATGCAGTGTTGCTCTTGTAACCATTCTTTGATGTGTTAGAACAAACTAACTCAAAAGTCGTGTTGAACTTTATTACCATAGCCTCTAGGTCCTCGATGTGATTGAGGTCATCACTGCTTTTGAAATTCTGTTTGCTAGTGGAGCATCAAAATTACGCCTACATTGCGACACAGTACAACAGAAGTTGAAATACTGCTCAATCAAAATATAAACTAATGAAAAAGAATGAACACAGATAGGGATAAGAAGTTCATATTCTAGAATTTAGCGAAAGAATTCAGAAATATTGAAGAATGTCAATTAGATTGGCTGCATCTTCTGTTGTGTAACTTTTTATTTAGACATTATTTAGCAGAGAATAAATATGGGAAAATGACAAAAAAAGACAGTGAAAATTGTAAAATCGCAAATTGGAACCTATTACAACACTTTGAATTGCAAATGACAACACATTTTTGACAAAATACCTCATTTGCAATTTCACAATTTTCTTAGTCTTTTTTGTGATTTTCTCAAGAAATATTATAGAGAAGCGGGGAAACCTCCACAAAAAAGATATCCCTAATCTTTATCTCCAGCCAAAATCTAATATGATGAGTGGTAAGTACCGAAAATGGAGTCCCATCAATGACCATGCCTAATCTGAAAAATATAGTGATGGAGAGTATCGTATGGGAAATGAATTTCTAAGCACTCACATGGGATAGATTTAACACTTGGTTGTCGTCCATTAATTTGATGTAAAACATGCCTTGGATCACTTTGGGCAACAAGGAGATAATCCGTGGCAGTCTAGAAAAAAACACCATAGCTAGGCACCAACTTAGGCAATGTTCTAGACAGCAAGTTTTCAAGACTAAAACTCCCCTCCTTATTTGGCAAACATCAAATCCCAATAAACAAGATGGTCAGACCAGAGACAGTAAGTCCATCCACAAGCCTAGACTGGACAAGCAAGTCTTAATTAGGTGATGCACCCACTCAAAAAATAAAAAAGAAATCTCCCATCCAATTATTCAGATATATAGATTTCAGACAAACCACCAGGACAAGAATCCTAGCAAGTCAAAATATTCTCCAAAAGGAGAATAATGTCATTTGAAATCCACTGTCAGACAAGAACCTATTTCAAGCCTGCAAAAAATGCCCTTAACAACAACTTTCCACATTTTCATAATCTCATGGTTAAGTATATCAAACCCTAAAATAAACAAGGAGAAAGAGGTTCCAACTCCTGTTTATCCTCAAAACCATGATTTTGTCGCACCAACGACAATGATAACAGAAGTACCAACAAAGGAACAAGCAAAAGACCACTGTCTTCATTTGACAACACGGCCATATCTCACTGAAACCAGGTCTATGGATCCCTACAACCTTACCAAACAAAAAGATATTGCTAATAGTACTTGGAAGGGAAATAATGAAATGATGATGAAATTTTTTTCAGAATGTAATGATTAGAATCAAGAAGAAAGAACCACGGATAATATTAGGAGAATGTAGTGTGTGCGTGCGCGTGTGTGCGCATGTGGGTGATTTAAACACATGAAGTCTATGTAAACGTATATTTCTTTCCTTTAGCATTTTCATTTTGATTAGCTAAGAATTCTTAGTCTCCTAAGAGTGCAAAATATACTTTTGACATGAATTAGTCTCTGTTCTATAAATTTTTCATGTGAAAGGCTCCTGACCAAAAGCAATTATCAATCGAGGCTTGAACATAAGTAGTTAAGAAGATCTTTGACAACCAAAAGAAAATATAAAATAAGTAAAAGGAAATTAAACTGAACCATTTCCATCTACTACCTGTCCAGAAGAATTCCGGAGACTTGACTCTGGATCCCATTATTTTTAAGTCCATACAAAGAACTTTCAATTGACGACATGGAGTTACTAGAATAGGGCTGTCTTGGGCATGACATGTAGTTGTACCATAGCTGATTGCTTTCATTATCACCTACGGATTACTGCATATTTTCTCTCATTATATCCCCTTAGCTCATAAACAAAGTTCCTGTAAGAAATATCTCAAACAAACACATGAAGCATTTAGTGTCTTATTAGAGACCCCAAAGCAAAAGTATCAACGGATATTTTAATACCCAACATCCTTTTTACAGATATGCTAATACCAGAAAACCGAAGCATCCATACAATCACATATCATCTTATTTCAATGAGAAAATGTTAATCCTTCGATAAGAATAATTTATTATATGATCATACAATAACATAACAGATACAATCCCCACACGGTGACAAGTGCTTCACATTACAAGATACTGTACAACCTTACATTGACCAACTACCGAACTCGTAAGTGCGTCTAAAATTAACATGTTCAACAACATCGACAATCCAAAACAATCAAACTCTAACGTATAGTCCTTAATGTACCAGAGGAACAAAAAAGCAAACTTCGAGCATCCTACTAAGACTCCAGAAGATATCAAATGCGGGCAAGCAACTATGACTTGTTATTGCTCAATGTCAAACACAAGAAAAAGCCAAATCGACGTAGAGTACAATACGTACCAATAACAGCATATCACAACGACCCAGAATTTAAAGCAAAGCCCGCCGAAAGCAATAAATGTATCAGTTGCCTTCGGTTCTGGCGAACCCTCCAGAATTAGAGATCTCACAGCTCTGAAATGAATACTATAATATTCCAATTAAGAAATGCAGACGAGAATAGGAGGAATAATTTAAAGCCAGAGAGAGATCATGGGTCTCGGTGCACAAGTCACGGCGCGTGGATCGTTAGAAGAAAAATCCGTTTGGCTCAATTATGAAGCTGTAAATTTCAACAACGCCATGAAACAGAGAGGACAAACGGAGAAAATTGTGACTGGAAAAGCGACATGAAATGCCAGTTAATTAACAAAACCAATAATTGTTTTTGCGTGTGTATAGGTATATTTATTTATATGCACACATATATATACACACACGGGAGCAGACGAAGAAGGAGCCGTTCGGAAGAAAAATTCTAGAGGTCAATGGCAAATCCTGTTTTCAGCGAACTGATCGTTTCAGAGAATTGCCACGTGGCTGATTTGGGGACAGAAAATGCGATCTTTGACACGGCCAGAACTACTATAGAGAAAATCAATCAGAGCAAAGGAAACATCAAATTGTTCTTTTCTTTGTGAATGTTGAAAACTAATTAATTTTGTTTTGACTTTTACTCATAAAGGCGAAGAAATCATCTAACAACAAATGAAAAATTCTGTTTACATCATAAAAAATCACATATTTTTCATTATGGTTCATCATCATCATCATCATCATTCTTGCTTCAATGTCAAACATCACTCATGCATGCTTCTACCAGATCTGTTTTCTATGGTTTGTACATAAGATTGTTCCAAAAGTACCAGACAACATATGAACTAGGAAAGTAGAAAGTATGGGGTGTGCTTGTGTTTCTATCTTTACCTTATTGTGACGCTCCGGCTCCATGGGATGTTGAATCCAACATGAAATATCCCTGTTATGAATTCTCAACCCATATAACCAAATATCTGAATGAGACTGTCGCTGCGAAATGGCAATGTAAGAATAGATGTTGATATCCTCAAGACGACAACAAGGTCATTGTTCTTAAGTCAGCACCGTCATGCTATTTTCCTGATACATATTTTCCTAACACATCTAGTACTTTAATATTACTAGCTCCGTTTCTTAATATTTTTCTGGTCCTTAATATAAAACACATTTAACTAATTTGATTAGATTAAGGAAGTTAGATAAATTAGTTAATTATAAAAAATGTGACACGTTTTTCCTAAAACACCATAATCATCTTTTTTAATATCCCCTCTCCCTCTTTTACTTGATTATGGTTGAGAAAGTATCCATAGGAGGTAATTTAGAAAAAATTGATAAATATGAGTAATGAGTCTTATATTTAGGACTAAAATTAACTCAATAATTAGGTCCTATATTAAGGACCGGAGGAGTATAGGATCTTGTTTGACTTTTATTTTGATCATAAATATAAGACCCTAATTCACTTTGTCTTTTATATTTATCCATTTTTTCCCAAAATAGTTTTTATAATAATGATAGTTCTAGCCAATAAACTTGATTAGTAAGGATATTTTAAAAAAGACAACACATATTTATTATAAATAACTAATTTAACTACTTAAATTAGTACTACCATTATTACAAAAACTACATTAGAAAAAAAATGAATAAATATGAGAGACAAAGTAGATTTGGGTATTATATTTAAAACCAAAATAAAAATTAAATGAACTCTTATATTAAGGATAGATGGTAGTACATTATAAATAAGATTTAAAAATAACATCACAGAGTATTGGATATACTATAAAGAATATCTCAAGATCATGATATTGGAAGCACGTGTAAAATAAGATTAATTATGAGTGCTATTCTATCCTTCTAAGAACTGTCTTGTACAGAATCATTTGACGAATTAATTAATTTCCAAAAGTACAGATAATTTTTGGGAAAATGGCAAATAAAGACCTTTGAAAATATAAAATGGCAATTTGGGTACCTCAATTCACAAAATAGCTATCAGAGACCGGATCCTAAATTGCAATTATGAAATGCAGGAGAAAAGTCAAAAATGCCATTTCCTTTCTCTTCCTTCCGTCTCATCCCCTCCCTCTTTTTCTTTCTTCTCTTGCTCTCTCTCTCTCTTCGTCCTTCTCTTTGCTGCTACTAAATCAAAATCAAAGCATTGCACTCTAGTCCTCACCTCAGCCACGTCTCTCACTTCAGAATTTAGAGGGAGAGAAAGGCGCTGCTATGTTCTGATTCTTCCACCATAGCTCAAAACCCTATCTCCATTTCCACCTTCCATAGCCACAAACCTGGTGCAGCGAAGAAGGATCTCTACCTTAGAATATTTGGTGAAGTTTCAGCTTGTACTATTATCTCTCTTGTAACAAAATAATATTGCGATGGTTTGTTGGATTTTGAATAGAAAATCTACTTTGAAATTATTATTCCTTGTCTCGGAGAGAGAAGGAACAGTGTAGCAAAGCATGTTGGAGCATTGTTTTATGCTTGTTTAAGATTATATGTAATGCTTACAGAGTGTGATATTATGCCCCTGCTTGAACTAAGTACCAAATCTGCAACATTATTTGATTCATCTTTTATCACCTTGGATATATCAGAACATTATCAATTCATTATGTTTTTCTACTGTCTAAAACAGGGCTTTATGCATATCTAATAATTATCTTACCATAACTTATGAAAACTATACCAAAAACTTGAAGATACTTACGCCTTATCCTTGCTTACACTCATTTTGAATTCCTCCTTCTTTCTTTACTTTGTCTTTGGTATTGTCTTTGTGAGTCAGGTAGTTATGGAGGAAATCAAGAAATGAAAATTCATGATTAACTTTCATTAGTCAATTTATCAGTTTCATGGAGAAAGTCAAAGGCTATTTTAATGTGTATGTGTCTTTTTATATATAGTTTGAACTTTTTTGTGTGTACATACCCAGAAAACATACCAAGATCATATTGGATTTTGTCTTGCGTACAGGACAATTCTTCCAAATGGAACAAGGTGTCAAGAAATTCTTTGAGGACTATGGTTAGATTAGGAAATACATTTCAATTTGATGGTGACAAGTTCATAATCTACTCCTCCTTAAAGAATGAAAGCTTGGATGATTCATTGCATGTGAATGAGGAAGGGAAGTCAACTTTATGATGGAATGTAAGACTCAAGATTGCATGAGGTGCAGCTCGTAATTAGTTTCCTTGTACAAGGGGTTCAACTCACTGAACTTGTCGTTAATCTTACTAAACTTGTCATTTACTGCTTATCAGAAGTAGTTGCTGTCAGAAATCTGCAAATTTTAATTTCAACAGAGAAATTTGAAATTGTATGAAACCTTATGGGAACTTGTTATTTGCTATACTCAATTTGTCATTTGTCATAGTAAACTTGTTACTTCGTAAATCAATGTGAAAATTTAGTCATTTTGACAGAGAAATTTGAAATTGTGTGAAAACCTGATGGGAACTTGTCATTTGCCAAACTCAACTTATCATTTGTCATAGTAGACTTGTCACTTCATAAGTCAATATGAAAATTCAGTCATTTTAACGAAAAAATTTGAAATTGTATGAAAATCTCATGGGAACTTGTCATTTGCCATACTCAACTTGTTATTTGCCATAGTAAACTTGTTACTTCATAAATCAATGTGAAAATTCATTCATTTTTTTAAAATTATATGAAAACCTTATGGGAACTTGTCATTTGCCAAACTCAACTTGTTATTTGCCATAGTAAACTTGTTACTTCGTAAATCAATGTAGAAATTCAGTCATTTTAATGGAGAAATTTGACATTGTATGAAAACCTTATGGGAATTGTCATTTGCCAAACTCAATTTGTTATTTGCCATAGTAAATTTGTCACTTCGTAAATCAACGTGAAAATTCTGTCATTTTGATAGAGAAATTTGAAATTGCATAAAAACCTTATGGAAACTTGTCATTTGCCAAATTCAACTTGTCATTTGTCATAGTTAACTTGTCACTTTGTAAATCAATATGGAAATTCAGTCATTTCAACAGAGAAATTTAAAATTGTATGAAATTCTTATGGGAACTTATCATTTGTCATATTCAACTTGTTATTTGTCATAGTAAACTTTTCACTTCGTAAATCAATATGAAAATTCAGTCATTTTAACAGAGAAATTTGAAATTGTATGAAAATCTTATGGGAACTTGTCATTTGTCAAACTCAACTTATCATCTGCCATAGTAAACTTGTCATTTCATAAATCAATATGAAAATTCAGTCATTTTAACAGAGAAATTTGAAATTGTATGAAAATCTTATGAGAACTTGTCATTTATCATACTCAGCTTATCATTTGTCATAGTGAACTTATCACTTCTGATAAGGTTTTTATACAAGTTTACATTTCTCTTCGTAAATGATAATTTCCAGAATTCTTTGACAACAACCAGTTTTTTACAATGAAAGGAGGTAACAGTTGTTAATACGAGTATATCAGTAGGAGATGAGATTGTAGAATAAAGAGAGATTATGGAGAATGAGAGCTTTTATATGAAGAGTACTATATTAGGCTATTAGCATTACATGTTTTGCAGAAAATTAAATATGGAAGCTACACGGTTAACATGTTTTCATTTTTCCCATTGCAAATCAATGGGTTGGGAAAAACATAGAAGAACGTCACGGTTCTGGAGAAGAAGAATGAAGTCGAAGGAGAGTAGAAGAAGGAAAGAGAATAAAGAGAGGAGAGAGAGAGAGAAAGGAGTCAGAAATTTACATTTCTAGAGAGGGAGAGTAGGACAAAGAGAGAGAGGAATAGAAGAAGGAAAGAGAAAGAAATGGGGTGCTGGAAGAAAGAGAAAAGGAAGGGCATTTTAGTCATTTGGGCTTCATTTCATAATTGCAATCTAGGACCCGGTCTCTAATAGCAATTTTATGAATTGAAGTACCCAAATTGCCATTTTATATTTTCAAGGGTCTTTATTTGCCATTTCCCCATAATTTTTTCTATAATTTTTATATTAAAAAAATAAAATACTAATTCTAATTGACTTGAAATAACTTCCAAATACCAAGACGGCAAGACCTTTTACCTATGGATGAGGATCCTCCCAAAATTCTCTTATTCCTTGTTTCTCAAAATCCCTTTTCCACCTTTTGATTAAAAAAATTGATGGTTGAGATTAATCTTTTATAAAACTATTATTAAAATATTTTATAAATTAATTTTTTTATATTACATGCGTAAACTGTACAGATTAATTTTTTTTAAGTTTAAATTTATTTATTTATTTATACATACTATTTTTTGTCCTAAATATAAGACCTAACTGAAGATTCAAGTTAGTTTTAAATATAACACTCGATCCACTTGGTTTTTTATAATTATTCATTTTTTTAAAGTAGTCATCATAGTAATTGTACATGTTAAAAGATCTTCATTCCAATACACATGATTAATAAGTGTATTTTAGTGATGACAATATATATTTATTACAAATAATTAATTTAACTGATTTTCTTAATATTCACAAATTAGTCATCTAGTTCTTATATTAAAAATTAGAGATGTTATTTTAATAATATTACAATAATATTTTTATAAGATATTATATCTAAATCATCCCTTTTCTGATCCAATTAACGGTGAAGAAGGAATTATGACCCCGGGGGGGACGAAGAAGATTATGCGTGGTTGTGAATTCTATGTCCATGTAGAATTAAATTGTCTAAATAAATTGAAAAAGGAAAAACTTCCAAATGAACAGAACATTCTCTCTCTTTTTTTTTACACATTCTTTTTTCTTCTTTTTGTGTTTTCTGACGTCACTTGGCAATTATTCTTCCGGTTATTAGTATAGGACCCAATTGTTAAGTTGGTTTTGATTCTAAATATAAGACTCATTTCTCATATTTATTAATTTTCTCGAAATTACCCTTGTAAATACTCCATCAACCATAATCAAATAGAAAAGGAAGATGGGATATTAAGAAAGATGATTATAGTATTTTAGGAAAAACGTGTCACATTTCTTATAATTAACTAACTTATCTAACTTTCTTAATTTAATCAAATTAGTTAAATAGGTCTTACATTAAGAATCAGAAGAATAACATATTATAAGCATAGTAGCAGGCTCATTTAATGAGCTCGAAACACAGGTCATCTGTTCTCTTATAAGCTGCCTTCTCTCTTACACTATCCCCGGGTAGGCTTCTTTCCAATTGAGTCAATCTCTATTTTCTGACCCAATTTTGTACCTTAGGTCGCTCAATTAAAAGTATAATGCAAATCAATTTGATCTGCTCAGTCAACTTGTAAAGTATGCCCCAATCCTCTTCAGTTGCAACCCACCGAAGGCTAAATCAATTAGTTATCTCGATGGCTATATCTTAGCTTGGCATATTTAAGCAAAATAAACAGTAAAATGATTCTCACAACTCCAAAAATGGGACAAATGTTATGTTCATTATGATGAGTATTCAAAATCTTCTACAAATGTATTACTAACAGTTTGGACTTTACTACAACCAGCTTGATTCAAAATCCCCTTGACCCTCATCTCTTTTCTTACTGTTTCGACTTCATTCCACCTTTCTGCAGAAGCATAAACATTGGACAGAGCTACATAGTCCTGACTCCTAGGAGTCAAGTCGTCACGACAACGTTGTTCTTGAAGTTGCAGGAGAAGTTTCCCTACCTTCTCGCCCATTGCTGTTTCCCCATGAATCTTGCACGCGCCAAGCAAACTCCTCCATAGCACAGCATCTGCACGAATTGGCATCCCCATGATAAAATCATAAGCTTCTTTTAATCGTCCAGCTCGACCAAGAAGGTCGACAATGCAACCATAATGTTGCATATTTGGCGTCACCCCAAGCTTTTTGTTCATTCCACGGAACAAACCAAGGCCTTCTTGAACAAGCCCAGCATGACAACAAGCAGAAAACAAGCTCGTAAAGGTTGCTGCATTTGGCTTCATTCCGTTAGCTCCCATTTCATGTAACAGTGCCAAGGCTTGTTCCCCTTTCCCGTGGATAGCTTGGCCAGTAATCATCGCCGTCCAAGTCAAGACATTCTTCTTGTTCATCCGTCTGAAAACTAACAAAGCGCTTTCAAGACATCCACATTTGGAGTACATGTCAACAAGCGCAGTGCCAATATACACATCATCTTCGGGCACACGCACCGTCTTCTCTGCAAACCCGTGTAGGGAAGCCCCTGTTTCTAGCATGCCCAGTTGAGAAGCTGCCGAGATGACACAGAGCATGGTGGTATCCGTGGGTGTAACCCCCGTCTTATCCACTAACATGTCCTGAAACAAAAGCAATGCACGGCGAGCATGTTGTTTGCTTCCTTCCTTTTGGGAACAATAACCAGTTATCATTGCATTCCAAGTGACAATGCTTCTTTCTGACATTTCATCGAACACCTTTCGTGCTGATGCGATGTCTTTGTTGTTAGCGTAAAAATGTATCCCTGTAGTGGGAACCATAATATTTGACGTCACTCCATGTTTAACGATGCGGGCATGAAGTTGCGTACCTAGCATTAACGTTGAAGCTGAAGGAAAGCGAGCACAAGCTCCGAGGATAAAAATATAAGTGTAATCGTCGAAAACTATGTCTCCTCCTGCAAACCCACTTCGGAAAACAAGGATGGAGTCCTTGGGTTGACAACATCTTACCAAGGTATTGAAGAGAAACACGTCTCGCTTATCCGCGTACTGGAATACCGAACGCGCATTATTGACGATGCGTTGGTTCGATGAGCCACAATAATGCTCAATTAATTTGGCCACGAGAGGGGGAGATTTGAGGCCATTGATGATCAGCCGGGCATGTATTTGTTGAATGTGGCTGCTTGGTTTGGGTGAAGAATATAACATAGAGATACAGTTTGGCCTTCTAAGGGTGGAGGCCATTCGATTCGAAGTTCTTGACTTGGCATTTTGAGGCTTTGCTATTCAGTCATGTGCTTCGGGTCTCCAACATTTCCCTTTCGCAATGGCTAACACTGCCCTGGATTTCTCTGTGGTCTCCTGAAGCAGTAGAGATGACAGCGACAATCGACTGCGGCGAAGCAGGCGGCGGCGGCGGCGGCTGGAGGAGGAGACAGACCAAGCAGAGGCAACCCGTGAACACGAGCGGCTGCAAAATTTGTTTTTTACATACTTATCTCGTACTACCACCATTTTTAATATAATATCCTATTTGATTTTTATTTTGATCCTAAATATAAAACCCCAATTCATTTTGTCTCTCATATTTATATTTTTTTTCAAAATAACCTTTCTAACAATGATAGTTCTAGTCAATATAGTTGATTAATTAGCTATGATATTTTAGGAAAGGCAACACTTATTTAGGACAAATAACTAACTCAACTTACTTTCTTAATCTCCTCAAATTAGTCAACTGGCTCTTATAATTAGGATCGGAGATAGTATCTCAAATTTTATGTGTTACGATTAAAAATTTATTTATAATTCTAAACAAGCCCTTGATAGGATTTTGAAAAAAATGGATGACTTTAAAGCCCGTCTTTTTTAGCCTAAATTAAAAATACTACTCTTTATACTAATTATAAAATCTTATTTATAATTTATATAAAATCTTATAATTAAGATAGAAAGTAATAAATAAAAATCAAGATTAATGTGCAAACACTACAAAAAAAATATGTCAATTGTAGCGATTAAAATGACACATTTCTAGCGGTTTTAACCGCAATAAATAACATTTGTAGCGGTTAACAAAACCGCTAGAAAACCAGGCGAAAGAAAAAATTTCTAGCGGTTATGGCAACCGCTACATAGCATGGTCAAAACACTAGAGACTTTCTAGCGATTCTTAACCGCTACAAAATGCTTAAAGGAAAAAAATTTCTAGCGGTTATATAACCGCTAAAAACATTCTAAGCCAAATCTCATTTTGCCGGGAATTAAATAATTTCATTAGCGCGCCAAAATTTCTAGCGGTTATAGAACCGCTAGAAATTTCTGGGAAATTAAATTTTCCCGCCAATTAAATTTTTAGAATGGCGCCAAAAAAATTTTCTAGCGGTTTAAACCGCTAGAAATTTTGGCGCAAAATTTAAATTTCACGAAATATTTGTAGCGGTTTTGAACCGGTAGAAATTTTTACCGTGCCAGAAAAAAATTTGTGGTTTTTCATATATAATTTTAAAAACCATTAAATAAATTATGTTGAAGAATTTTTGTTAATTTGTATAATTAGTTATATGTTACATTTTATATATTTAAATTTTGTAATAAACAATATGTAATTAAATTATGAGTGTGAATTTAATTTAATAAGATAATTGAATTGAATATTTAATAAGATAGTTGAATTGAAAATGAGATAGTTTGTAATATTGAACCTATAGTGTTAGGTTGAGGAGTATTTGAATCAGTTGAGGAGGGCATGACAAGTGTGTAGAAGAAAAATCTGAAAGAAAAGGAAAAATAAATATGTTAGTAAATTTTAAGTAAAAACAAATAAAAGATACAATGAATTATAAAATAAAATTCACTTACCATACAATAAAGAGAAAGAAACCACCATATGAGAGTAAGAAAAAAAGAGAGAATTATGAGGAAGAATAGGAGAGGAAAGAAAAGAGATGGAGCAAATGAATGTAAAGAAGATATGATATTTATAGATATCAGCGACACATTTGTAGCAGTGTTTTTGTAGCGTTTTATTGCATTTTGTAGCTGTTAGTCATTTTCTAGCGTACCTAACCGCTAGTATTTTGTAGCGGTTAATAATCGCTACAAATTATAATTTTGTATAATAAATGTGTAGCCGTTATGTAACTGCTACAAATTTATTTTTTTTATTTTTTAAAAATCTGTACGAATTTTAATTTATACATATGTATTTGTAGCGGTTAATAACAGCTACAAATTAGAATTCTTTATAATAAATTTGTAGCGGTTATGTAACCGCTACAAATTTATTTTTTTTATTTTTTAAAAATCTGTATGAATTTTAATTTATACATATGTATTTATGGACGGAAAATTTTTTTAATAATAAAAATTTTTATTCTCCATCATCATCCGGCCTAAAAGGACACATTTTAAAAAAATTTGTTAAATTTATAATGTATTTGGAAAAAATTAGTAATTAGTAGTTAATTATTTAAATAATTTAAAAAAAGACGTGTACCTGATAATTGACAAATTATCATCTCCTTGAGGAAAGAAGTCTTCGAAATTCGAGGGTTGGAAGGGTTCACTGTCGTAAATAATGTCACCATCACCCATATCATAGAGATCCCGTGGCTTGAGGTGAACGACCATATTCCAGTCTTTATGTTTCTCGTCCTCGACATAGTAAATTTGGTGTGCCTCAGAAGCAAGGATATATGGCTCATCATCTTCAGATGCCCCTGTATGAATAAGTCTAGAGAAATTAACTGAGGTGATGCCCAAATGGTCAGTAGCGAGTCCCCGTGAAGTTGTCGTATTTGCCCAGGAGCACTTGAACAGTGTCACGGTGAAAAGCTGGTAACTCAACTCAATAATGTCAATTAGCTTTCCATAGTAAGTGACGCCTCCAAAGCGCATATCGCCATCACTACTGCTAACATAACATCTCGTTCCGAATGTCCCGCAAACTCCAGAGTTTTGTGTGAGCAATCCCTGATCACGTCCAACGTACAGAACTTGAAGCCGTTGACATTGTACGCGGTAAACCTTCGTGCATGGTCTAACGGACCGAGAGAAAGAGCTTTGAATTCATCTGTGTATGGGCTGTTGTCATTACGTATTCGACGTGTAAACCAACTGGGAAACTCTTTGTGGACTCTTTTATCAATGTCAACAGAACGCACGCCCCCGTAGCTGACACCTGAGGTAACTCCTAAACTCACTACAGTAAAGTGTAATTTGTTAGAAGAGTCAGTAAGAAACAAATATAAAGTGTAAAGCTAGTGAGCTTATATGATATATATACTTACTGCATGAAGGGTTTCAACTTGGCTGCAATTTATCAAAACGTGTCTGTGTGCCTGGAGTTTCTCTGTAGGAGTGAGTCTGAAGAATTCATATCCTCCAACTGGTTTCCCAACAGGAGGAAATAAAGTTGACGTGGAAGGACCAGGAGGAGAATCATCTACACAACGCGGGCGGTTAAAAGATGTCTCCATGTCATCAAAGTACCTTGAACAGAAAGTTAGGACCTCATCTCCGGAATAACCTTCTGCTATTGACCCCTCAGGCCATGCCTTATTCCTAACATATGATTTTAATTTTCCCAAGTACCTGTAAGTTAAAATTGCATTAATAATTACGAGTAAATGAAAGAACAATATGAAATTTAAAGAGGCGGGAATAAAAGATAATCTAGTACCTCTCTATAGGGTACATCCATCGATAGTGAACTGGGCCAGCAACCTTTGCTTCTCGAACAAGGTAGACAGTCAAGTGAACCATAACAGTAAAAAATGATGGAGGAAATATCATCTCCAAGTGACAAAGTGTAAGAATAATTTTATTTTGTAGCTGATCAAGCTCTTCCGCTATCAAGACCTTCGCACACAACTTCTTGAAAAATGAACATAATTCTACTAAAACCACTGATACATCAAAAGGAAGTGTGTTTTTCAAGGCCAATAGAAGTAACTGTTGCATAAGAACATGAGAGTCATGACTTTTCAACCCAGTAACCTTTCGAGCCTGCAGATCGATACACCTTGGGATGTTGCTAGAATATCCATCTGGTAATTTTATGTTCTTCAACGTCGAGAGGAAGATATCCTTGTTCTGCTTTGTCAAGGTGAATTTAGCTGGTTGAAACTTGTCGTTTTCATCAGGCCAAGCCTCTTCACGAATTCCCCAGGCCCGTAAATCTTTTCTAGCTGCGAGATGGTCTTTGGACTTTCCAGCTTCATTGAGCAACTTATATAGCACATTATCGCACACATTTTTTTCAATGTGCATAACATTCAAACTATGTCGTAGCAAATTAGATTCCTAATAAGGAAGAGTGAAAAATATGCTTCTCTTCTGCCATTGCATAGGTTGCGTATCAGATGTCCCACGAGATCGTCGTCCCAATCGTTCGGGATCCACACTCTTACCAAACTCGACATTAACATCTTCTAACTGCCGCAAAATATCCATACCAGACAAAGTAACAGGAGGATCTCTCTTCTCCTGTTTCCCATCAAAGCGAATCCGTTACAATCTAAGTTTGTGCTTGGAATCAAGGAACCGTCGATGCCCTATGAAGCACCACTTGCGACTGTGTGGAAGGCGACATGGCACAGAATCAAAATTGCACTTAGGACAGGCCAACCTAGTATGCACATTCCAACCAGACAAAGTTCCCAAACCAGGAAAATCACTTATTGTCCACATCAAGGCTGCACGGAGATTGAATAGTTGCTTGTCATGTGAGTCATATGCCTCAACACCATTCGTCCATAGGTCGATCAATTCATGTATCAATAGTTGCAGGTATACGTCAATATCATTTCCTGGTGCTTTCTTGCCAGGAATGATCATGGAAAGCAAAAAGGAGCTCTGCTTCATGCACATCCAAGGTGGTAGATTGTATGGAATTAACACTACCGGCCAGATACTGTAACTTGTGCTCATATTTCCGAAGGGATTGAAACCATCGGTTGCCAATGCAAGACGTACATTTCTAGGATCATTGGCAAAATCTGGAAATTTCACATCAAATGCTTTCCATGCCTCCGAGTCTCGTGGGTGCCTTAACCTACCATCTAGATTTTCCTTAGTCGCGTGCCACCTCATGTGCTGAGCCATTTTTGATGACATATACATTCTTTGCAACCGTGGTTTCAAAGGAAAGTATCTAAGAAAATAATATATTAAAAATTTAAAATACCGAATATTTAAATACTAAATATCGACTCAATTTAAAAAAATTGATGACATAATCAATTGTTTTAAGAATTTCAAATATCGAATATTTAGAGATGGAACAAGTAACACACTGTAATAATTTGTACCTGAGAATTTTGGCCGGTTTCTTCTTTTGCTTCTTGCCCTTCCGTACCGACTTATAGCGTGACGTCTTGCATCTCGTACAAATCTCTTTGTTGGCATCATCTCCCAGTATAGCATACAGTCGTTTGGGCATACA